CACATATGTAATCTGCAATTGATAGCTTTATTGTCTAAACAGGACTGGTTTTAAAATCATGTCATTCAAATATTTACATCATTATTAATCATTTGTCTACTTATTTTACCAATTACTGAGAGACAGATATAAAAAACCTTCCAGAATGATTGTGAATTTGTTTTCCCAGGTAGTTTATTTTGAAATTTGCTATATTTACTTAATGCCATATTATTAGATGTATAGCTATTTAGAATCATTACAAATTCCTGGCAAATTGAACTTTTTATCATGAGGAAGAAACCTTCCTTATTTCTAAAAATGATGTTTCCTTAAGGTCTGTATCAACTTTCTTTGCTTACTATATGTGTTGTTTATCATTTTGTACTAGATTTGGTTTGAATCAGAATTCAAACAAGGTGAACACACTGTATTTGGTTAAGTTGCTTACATTCCTCTTAATGATTATAGAGCTATCCAAATTATCTATTACATATGAGGTGAGTTGTAATAGTTTGTAATTTTCAATAAATTGGTTAGTTTCATCTAAGATGTCAAATGTATGTGTGGAAAGTTGTTTGTTGTATTTCCTTATTATACTTTTGATATTTGTAGTGATAGCCTCTATTTCATTCCTGGCATTGGTAATTTTGTCTTCTCTTACTTTATAAAAAAATTTCTTTATTGATTTCAGAGAGGAAGGGAGAAGGAGAGAGATAGAAACATCAATGATAAGAGAGAATCATTGATTGGCTGCCTCCTGCATGCCCCCTACTGGGGATCGAGCCCGCAACCCGGGCATGTGACCGTGGCTGGAATCAAACCTGGGACCCTTCAGTCTGCAGGACAATGCTCTATCCACTGAGCCAAACCGGCTAGGGCTCTTCTCTTACTTTTCATTTAATTTCTTATATCTTCAATCAAGTGTGATTAGATAAGGATTTATTTATTTATTTATTTATTTATTTATTTTACCAAATTCTACTTTGGCTTTGTTGGGATCTTTGAAACAATAGGTTGATGCCCTTCATTTCATCTTTAAATATTTCTGGGAAATTCTCAGCCATTCCTAAATATCACCTCTTCCTATTTTTCCCCCTTCTCTCTGGGTTTCCAATTACATTATGTTTTATTTTTGTCATTCTGTTCTCTGTGTCATCTCTCCTGTGCTTTTCATATTTCCCCTCTTTACTTATTCTGGGCTTTTCTTCCCAATCTGTGTATCAATTCACTACTTTTCTCTTCAGTTGTGTCAAATCTGCTATTAAATCCAATCATTGATTCTAAATTTTCGTTACTGTATTTTTTACTTCCATAATTTTTAGATGACTCTTTTTAAAATCTCCAATATCTCTTTTTTAGTTTCTGGTTTATTACTGAGATTTTAAAATTAGACTTTTGGTTCCTTGAACATAGTAAGGATAATTGCTTTTTACAATCTGTAACTGATAATTACAGTATCTGGAGGTCCCATAGGCTCACTCCCTACCCCCCATTTTCTCTTGTCCCTGCTGTGTTTTGTTTTGCCTCATCATATGTTTTGTGATATTTGATGGTTTTTCTGGATGTTTATTTGACAAAATACTTTTATGTATAACGTAAGACCTAAGGCAATGTTATCTTATTCTGAAAAAGAGTTTTCTGGCAGATAGCTAAGAGTGCTTACAGTTCAGGAATAAGGTTTGAAGTTTTGTGGGCCATCTAAATAATCCTTGGAAGTACAATACATATCCACACCCAGAGTATAGTTCTTCAGTTTCTAGCCCGGTACATGGAATATTACACTAGGTTCTCTCCCTTGGTGAATATTAAGTTCCAATCCCCATTGCTCCAGCTTATGAAGCCACCAAAAATACATATCTGCCTTTCAGTGAACTTCTATGGATCGGTAAATGATCCAAGTCAATTTTTTAAAATATTTTTTTATTAATTTCAGAGAGGAAGGGAGAGGAGAAGAGAGATAGTAACATCAATGATGAGAGTAAATCATTGATCAGCTGCCTCTTGCACCCACCCGGCTTGAAGTGCCCTTGACCAGAATCGAACTTGGGACCCTTCAGTCCACAGGCGATGCTCTATCCACTGAGCCAAACCAGCTTGGGCTCCAAGTCAGTTTTTAGAGCCTCAGCCAAAAGCAGAAAGTATTTCACTAAAGTTTTCCTCCTTGAGTGCCAAAGGACTTTGACCCATGTTCACACCAACTCTCTCTTTCTAAACAGGAGAAAATAAAAGTTTAATAATTGTGCAAGGGGAATTCACATAGACATGACAAATTCATGACATGACAATCTCCAAAGACAGCACACCACCAATTCTTGAGAATGGCAAAAGCAGAGCTTCATATCTCTGCTATCTTTACTCACAAATAACCACAGTCCAGAATCAGTCCTAATCTATCTCTTTAATCTCCTATGCTTTCCTTCTTCTCTCATGATAATTTTTTAAACTTTTTTTTCATTATTTTTTCAGTTGTTTTCATCAGGGTATGATGGGTATCACAATGCATCATTAGCAAAAGGTAACACATAGCATAGCATATTTTGCACCTCTCCCCCCTCTTGGTATATCTCTTTATCAGTACATTCTGTTTTATTGCTGTATAAGACTCATTGTATGAACGTTCCTTATTTCTAGACACCTGGTCCTTTTCAAATTTTTGCTATTATAAACAATGCTACTATGAATTACTCATCATACGGTGTTTGTTATTTGTTGAAGTAGTTCTATAGGATAGACTCCTAGTAGTTGTATGTGTCAAATAGTAAATACAAAGTAAATTATTTGATATTGCCAAAAGTCCCCATCTTATATGCCCAACAACAATGAACAAATTAACCTCATAGCTTCAACAGCCTGTGTTGTTTGGTTTGGATTTTTGTCTTAATTGAATAAATGAGAAATATTACCTATTCAACTAGAAGCATTTTATTATGTTGACTTTCCTATCACTACTTGTAATTGTTTTCCTTTTATTTTTCTGGTCTTTCCTTCTCAATCTCCTCCTCCTCTACCCATTATCTAAATAATAAAATTTTTTGAAATTATTCTTGGACCCTCTTCTTTTGTTCCTTGTTATCATCTTCTTAAATGATTTTGCCCATTCCTATGGCTCCAATGCCATATGTAATTATAATGAATTACAAATTTACCTTTCTGGTCCATACCTCCCTTCTGAACTCCAAATACCAATTTGATATCTCCATGTTAATGCTCTCAAGCATACAAAAATTCAATATAGCACTAACTTTTGGATCACCGTCCTCCTTCCCCAGTTACTAAAATATAATTCAGACTTCCTAAAGCATAGTAAGTATCATTATCTCCCAATTGCTAAAACCAGAAATTAGTATTCAATTAATTTTCTAATCCTGTCTACATAAAAAAATATATGTTTCAATGATTCAGGATGAATAAGTTCTGGAGAGCTAATGTACAACACCCTCTTGCCTCATCTTTACTTCTCTCCATCGTGGCCTGTTAAAAAGTCCTTTAAACTGGGCTTCCCATTTCACTTCTTAGTACCCCTGCCTCCATTCCAGGTTTTCACAAAAGAGCAAGCATGAGCTTTTTAAAATGTAAGTTGCATCATGCTACTCGCCTTCAATGGACTCTAATTTTCCTTGGTACAAAGATAAAAATCATTGACATGATGGTAAGGGACTATATGACCAGACTGCACCTATATCTCTAACCTCACCTCATGCCATACATTCTGCTCCAGGAGCACCATCCTTCTTTAAGTTCCTCAAAATCTCCATCCTCCCTTCTACACAGGAAATCTCTCTCTCTCTCTGTCTCTCTCTGTCTCTCTCTGTCTCTCTCTCTCTCTCTCTCTCTCTCTCTCTCTCTCTCCAGTAAGCTCCATGAGAGCAAGGACATTGGTCTCTTTTTCACATTGTATACAAAGGTGCCAGAACAGTGTCAATTTGTACTTGTAAAGATTTGTGTAGCCAAGCTTTATTAAGAGCCTGAGCTGCCGAAACCGGTTTGGCTCAGTGGATAGAGCGTTGGCCTGCGGACTGAAAGGTCCCAGGTTCGATTCCGGTCAAGGGCATGTACCTGGGTTGCGGGCATATCCCCAGTAGGAGATGTGCAGGAGGCAGCTGATCGATGATTCTCTCTCATCGATGTTTCTAACTCTCTATCTCTCTCCCTTTCTCTCTGTAAAAAATCAATAAAATATATTTAAAAAAAAAAAAAAAAAAGAGCCTGAGCTAAAAGTTGGATGCAGGAGTTAGACATATGAAACCTTAAAAATGAATAATAAATAGGATTTGATGAGTTATTTGACTTCAGATTGAGACACAGAGAGGTATCAGCTATGACTAAAGGCCTCCCCATGGAAAGCTAAGGAAAAAAAATAAAACATTAGAAAGTCACCAACAACAATAGCTGACAGGTGTGGGGCAGTAGGGGGAGGTTCAGGATGTGGAGAGAGATTTGTGCAGAAATGGTAGATTCATTTGTCAAGGCAATGTACAAAGTTCAGGCCCATGGCGGATCATTAGAGAGAAAACATTGATTGGGAAATTGGAAGTGTGGAATCGAGGCTCAGCAAGCCATTAGCTCTTAGTCAAAAACTGAAGAGGTAGAAATGAATGAATTCCCTAAGATACAGAGTAAGGGAAAGTGGATGATAATGACAGAATTTTAGGGAATGCCTCATGTACACAGTGCAAGGAAAACATGAAGCAAATAGTTGAGCAAAGAGTGACCAGAAGGGGGGGGGGGGGAGAATGGGGTGATGTAGTGTTACAGAAGGCAAGCAGAGGTTTGTAAAAGAGGTCACCCAGCAGAGGGAAGTCAAATACTGTAGAGAAATAAAAGCACACTGCAGAGGTGTTTGGAAGGACAGTAATGAGATCCTTGGCAACCTTGAAACTTGGGGTCAGGGGTGCATTAGGTTTCAAAGACAGAATGCTTCTGTCCTGGGAGGTGGGGACTAATATTTTCATTTGTACAAGAGGATGGTACACAATCCCATATTAACCCGTAAACGTCCTCTCTTGTCCTCCGTACAGCCCTGAAGCCGGTGGATCTGCACGTCACATATCAGACAGGGCCCCTGATGGCCGTAGAGACCACTCGGAACATAGTGCTGCACTGGCGGGCCCACGGCTGGCCCCTGCGCTCCCTCCGCACACCAGTGGCCTCCCTGCACTCTGTGGTCCAGGAGCTGGGAGGCCTGGCTGGGGGCCCCCACACCGTGGTGGTGCTGGGGCTGGGCGCACACTTCACCACCTTCCCTCCATCCGTCTTTGTGCAGCGACTGGCAGGGATCCGGGCAGCTGTGGCTGCGCTGCTGGCCCGGGAGCCCCGCACTCTGGTGGTCATCAAACTGGCCAACACTGGCTACAAGTCCGTGTATGGCAGTGACTGGTTCACCCTCCAGGTGAACCGGCTCCTCCGAGCTGCCTTTGCTGACCTCCGTGTGGCCTTTGTGGATGCCTGGGAAATGACCTCCAGCCTGGCCCTGCCTGACAGCATCCACCCAGTGCGGCTCATTGTCCAAAACGAGGTGGACTCCCTCCTCTCCTTCATCTGCCCCACCTGAGCGCTGCTGTGGATTCTGGGGCTTTGTGAATGGAAGCCATAGGAATTGTGAAGAGCGCCAAAGGGACTCCGGACTAACAATGATCCAGAGAAGAGGGGCTACCCCAATGTTTAATTACTGTTAGCCCTGGAGACAATCCTTGTGTACATTAATGAAAGATTTTACATAGATGAAATATTTTACATCCCTTCTTTTAAGTTCACTTCGGGGGACATTTTCACTGGTGTGACTGCAGATTACGCAGTTGTAAGTAATAACACAGAAATCGCTCATGCACTTGACTCAGTTTCTCCCAATGGCAACATCTTACAACACTATATAGTGCAGCACCGTATCCTGCCCAGGATATTAACATTGACACAATCCACCAATCTTACATACATGCCCCTCGTTTTACGGTACTCATTTGTATGTTTTTAGTTTTATGAAAGTTTGTCATTTGTGTGGGTTTGTGTCTAATTCATTAGCATCTGTTTTGTAGCCTTGCAAAGGAGATAAGACATGGTCAAGGGTTTATACGACGTGGCAAATCTAATAGGAGAGCCCTGGATAAACTAGAGTCTCAATGGACTCTACCCTCAGGCTAAAGAGAATACAAAAATAGTACCTCACACCCTTTCACTTCTCAATCCACTCTTCCTTTAATCAAGCAAAGGTGAACTATTCTCACCAAGGTAAATAAGATCCTCTTGGAGGTAAATCCCATGAACAATTTTCAATTCCTACCTTTTGATTTTTTCCCCCCTTCATCATTGGGCCACTCCTTCCTTGCTGAAACCACCTCTTCTCTTGGCTTCATAATATCAGATCCCTTGATTCAGACATGAGTAACTTGATAAAAGAGGTCCACCAGAATCCATTTTGCTGGTGAGGGTGGTCACAGAGGCACCTAGTTTTATTTTTTACTTATTTTTAATATATTTTTATTCATTTCAGAGAGGAAGGGAGTGGAAAGAGAGATGGAAACATCAATGATAAGAGAGAATCATTGAATGGCTGCCTCCTGCATGCCTCGTACTGGGGATCAAGCCCAAAACCTGGGCATATGCCCTTGACAGGAATCGAACCTGGGACACTTCAGTCCACAGGCCAACGCTCTATCTACTGAGCAAAACCATCTAGGACAGCACCTAATTTTCAATAGTGGTGGTGGTTGCAAGAACCGGCTCCTGGCATAGAAAGGGCATCCTTGGTAGAATGTAAACCACAGCAGGAATTTCTCCTGCTGCTCAGCTGGACATCAGTGGTGCTGGTGGCATAAAGTACAGTTCCTGGAAGCTTAGCATTTGGGCCTGCTTCTCCAGTCTCCCAGTAGTATGTGCGCTACTCAAGGTCCTTTTATTAATACCCCTTACTCATTAATCAGCCAGAATTGGCTTCCATTTCTTGGAAGAACTTGGATTAATCAGAGTCTGTGATTATGTGCCTGGTAATTACAGGTTCATACGTTAGATGCTATCATAGAAGTGAGCTATGGGAATGTACAAGGCAGACACGTAACTCAGCCTTTGTGGTCTAGGGAAGAATCCCACAAAGATACCTGAGTTGAGTTTGAGAAGAAGACCGTGGATTACCTAGGCACAGAGTCGCAGAAGGGCACTCCAAGCGGAGAAACAGTTATGCTCAAAACTACACAATATTCTCAAGTCGGTAGTGGGCTGAGGCAAGAGGTCGGATGGCAGAGTTGAACAAGAAGATCCCTGAGGACTTTATATACCATGCTCAAAGTTGTTCCCTGGACTAGTAGCAGGGCTAGAGCCAGGCCTTTCAGTGTATACTCTGGACAAGGTAGATGCCGGAAATCACCTGGATATGGCTTTAGGTGAGTACTTATTTTGTATTGGCACCCAGCCTTGCCTGAACACTCAGGGAAGAGTCAGCTGCAAGTGACCATAGCCTGTCATGGAACCTGCTGACCTGAAAAGAAACCAGCAGGCCGGACCCCTACCTTGCAGTCTCCTGAGCCTCACTCCCTTCCCTTAGCCCTTGCAACTCTGATCCTACTCAGCCAAACTCCCATTCCCCTCAGGGACCTTGTTATCTCAAGTTCTCCCCAAAACAACTCAACTCCCGTCCCTGTGTCTTCTACCGTGTAGTTAACAGGGAGTTAACAAAGTTGTGTCTTACTTTCCTGGGAAAGAAAACATTTTGTATCCTTTAGCTTTGACCTTGCTGCTAGAAAACTTAAGGCTAAATTTACTGCTCACATGGTAAGTGGGAAGAGGAAGTTATTATTCTTCGTCTGGGGGTTTGGACCAAACTGTTCTACAGTCATTAAGCTCCTCTTGCCTACAGCCTTATTCCCACATTTCTTCTTTGCTGTTGTGTTCTCTGCCTCTAAGTTTATTCTGCTAAGAAGTGTGGTTCTCTCTTTCTTACTGCAGCTGCCCTTTCCCCACATTTGACCTTATTCTGGGCACTTGAGTGGCCACATCATCCATGTGTTTGCAGGTACCATCAGCAGGATGTTACCCTGTGAATTGCTATGAAGAGAAGAATCACGACTTTATAGAGGAATGAGAGAAAGAACAGGAAGTGTTGAGAAGTATCCTGCAATGAGGTAAGAAGGCTTAGATTTCAGAAAGAAAATGAGAGCAAAATAGGATGAAAGGGTGGATGCAGGTTTAGGGAACAGGGCATTTAGTGTAATGATCAAGCAACCAGTATTGATTAAAGTCACAGTCTGGCCCTAGCCGGCTTGGCTCAGTGGATAAAGCGTCGACCTGCAGACTGAAGGGCCACAGGTTTGATTCCAGTCAAGGGCACATCCTGGGTTGCAGGCTTGAACCCTAGTAGGGGACGTGCAGGAGGCAGCCCATCAATGATTCTCATCATTGATATTTCTATCTCTCTTTCCCTCTCTCTTCCTCTCTGAAATCAATAAAAATATCTTTAAAAAAAGAAAGAATATAGTATCCTACCCCTACGTAAAAAACAAAACTTTAAAAATAAAATAAAAATAAAATCACAATCTGGGCAAATTACTGTTTTTAATGTGTGGAATACAATAAGGGCATGAGATATGAGGTCTGGCTTTGAGAAAGAGATGTGTGCAGGGCTTAACAAATAGAATGTTGAGTATGAGTGGTGAGGAAGGTAGGAGACTCAGGCAGTTATAAAAAAGAACAATATTGGATAGGACTTCAAGGAGGAGAAAGTGGTCAACAGTTTAAATACTGCTGAGAACTTAAGAAATATAATGAATAAAGAGACCTCAGAGATGACAATTAGCACAGGAAATCTTGAAGGAGAACTGGGAGTAGATTCATGGCTGAGAGGGGATGAAATGAATCTTTTATTCTGAGAATATTTGGAGTATCTCTAGGATAGGATATTGTATGTCCACCTTCCAAAAGCCAGTAACCAGTGTCCAAATGGGCAGATCCAAGAATCAGGGTTAAGGTATCTTGGATCACAGTGCTGTAGCAATAGGCCCAACACTGGCCCTGTGGTTCTGTAGCCCAAATTCATGCTTTTCCTGAATATTCATTTTCATTCATGTACTGCGCCAAAGGAGAGAGGGAGGTGACAGTGGGCAGTGGCAGGGCCCCAGCCACTATGGTGCCCACTCCCTTTTTGCCTCAATGGACCACTGCCTGATGCAAGGTAATCATCTAGATGGCCCTGAATACATTGTTGGTTGGGGAATCATGTACACTGATTGCCACCCAAATTCCAAAAGTAAGTTCAAGTGTATCTACAGTAGTAACTTATTCACCCATCAGCTGAACAAACTTCCCTGCGGAGGCTTTGCTGGCATCCCTTTGGGATTTGAGTTATGATATAACTCTGCCTGGTGCATCATTTACGATTAGGTTGATTCCTCTTCTTGATCTTCTCTAGCTGAATGTATCTTCTTAGGTCCTAAGGCTGCGTTGGAGAGTATATGGATCCTGTAACCTAGTCCCAGGAGTGAAAAGGATCAACTGAGTGGTAGGATGTCTGGATTTCTAAGGAAGAGTGGCTGGGTTCTTGGGTTTTCCATCAGCCACAAGAAGTAAGTGCTGAAGAGGAAATAAGCTCCCTACTAAATGATAGCGAGGAATAAAAGCGTAGGCAGCAGCTGCTGTATGAAGTCAGAGAGGTGATCACTGTCTCTGCCCTAAGTTAAGTTCTCTTATTATTTGCCTTTGGTTTAAGATGTTGAATAAACATGATGTGGTATTCATGCTGGAAGCAGATGCCTAAGAGTGCAGGATGACTGGGTTTATTAGAGCCGTGTTGGTGACTTTTATTTTTATTATTAAAATATATTTTTTATTGATTTCAAGAGAGAGGGAGAGAGAGATAGAAACATCAATGATGAGAGAGAATCCTTGTCCTGCATGCCCCACACTGGAGATCAAGCTCACAGCCCGGGCATGTGACCTGACCAGGAATCAAACTTTGACTTCCTGGTTCATAGGTCCACACTCAACCAACGCCAGCCAGGTTGTTGGTGGCTTTTAGATTTTAAGGATGTCTGTACAACATTATAGATACAAGAAGGTAAGGGTGAAATTTCTAGGTGCTTAATAGAGGTGAGAAGGGTGAGAAGGTAGGTAGAATTGGAGGCTAAGATCCCACCAACAGTGTTTCAAGAAAAGAAATAGTCCTGCCTGCAATTCCCAGTAGGGGGCATGCAGGAGGCAGCTGATCAATGATTCTCTTCAATCATTGATGTTTCTCTCTCTCCCTCTCCCTTCCTTTCTGAAATCAATAAAAAAAATTTTTTTTGTTTTAAAAGAAGAAATAACATGGAGTGTATCTGGAGTTTGCTAATAGCAGATGGGGGATGGAATCTCTTTCATACATTTATTCCTGCCTTCCATCCTCATTTGGGTGGATCTTAAACATGTCACCAGCCACCAAGTTTGCCCAGGTGACCTGTGTTGCTACTATACTGTATTCCTGCGTTGTTACTGCTTCGCATTTTTATAGTGCCTCATAATTTTTTAAAAAAAATACGTTGTATTGATTTGTAGAGAGAGAGAGGAAGGGAGAGGGAGAAAGATAAAAACATTGATTGGCTGCCTTCTACATGCCCCCTACCGGGGATCAAGCCTGCAACCTGGGCATGTGCCCTGACTGGGAATCGAACCAGCAACCTCTTGGTGCATGGGACAAGACTCAACCAACTGAGCCACACTGGCCAGGGTGGGGGGGGCCTCATAATTTAAATTACACTTGCATATCATATCTTACTCAATCCCTGCACGGATGCTATTGGTGACAATAATAAGGAAAAGTACAATGATACTGGTGACACCACTCATTTGCTATACTGTCCCCTAGCCCAGGGCTCTTTGCAGCTCTACAGTAGAGAACAGGCAGAAGTTAATGCAGAGGGTCAAAAGCAGTTTCAGTTTATCCTCAGCTTGATAGTCCCCCAAACTGGAGCCAGGTTGTCACTGAGTCAAGTGGCATTAGCTCTTTGCCACTCCCAGGATTCATGCTGGACAGTGGAAAGCCTGCTTCTCAAGCTCCAGGCCAGGTTTCCAGGGAATACATACATCTCTCTCTGACTGTAGGCAACCTGAATAAGCCCCTGAGCCTCGGTGCCCCATAAAGTAGTCCCCTGGGCCCTCCTGGGATTTGCTCCTGGGCCACCTGGTCCTTCTTCAATCTTGTTGTACTTAAACAGGTCACCAGCCACCAAAGCACACCTAGGAGTATGCCTGCCTTTGCCCCCACGTAATCTTGCCCTTGCCCTTCTCTGAGGTCCAGCCTCAAAGGAGGAGGAAGATAATTTCTCCATAAAAGTACACTTTTAGTTTGGGAGAGGTTGGGTGTGGTAAACACAGTCCCTTCTTCTCAGTGAGATGTCCACCGAGACCAGATGCTCTTGATTGTACTCCTTTGTCTATTTACATTTTTTGCCATGATCACGTATAAATTAGGACTCGTTTCTTCCAACTTATTTCACATTTCTCATTCATTATACTTTATTTCTCTTTCCCTGCTTTCCAATGAATGAATCAATTTTTTTCTGATGATTTGAACATTTTACATTCTATTTTAGTCTTTTTTTAATTTATTTTTTTATTGTTGGCAGTATTACAGATTTCTCCCACTTTGCCCCCTCCATCCAGCCCCCACCCCAACCCAGGCCTTTGCCACACTATTGTCTGTGTCCATGGGCTGTACACATATGAGTGTATGTTTTTTGGTTAATCTCTTCCCGTCCCTCCAATCTGCTCCCCTCTGAGATCTGTCAATCTGTTCCTTGCATTCTTGCCTCTGGACCTATTTTGTTTGTCAGTTTATTTTGTTGTGTTCCACATATAAGTGGGGTCGTGTGATATTTGTCTTTCTCTGACTGGCTTATTTTGCTTAGCATAATAACATCCAGGTCCATCTATGTAAGAGATCCTTCTTCTTATAGCAGCATAGTATTGCATTATGTAAATGTACTACAGCATTTTTATTCACTAATCTACTTATAGGCACTTGGGCTGTTTCCAGATCTTAGCTATTGTAAATAACACTGCTCTCTCTGAACATAGGGATGCATACATTATTTCTGATTGGTGTTTCAGGGTTCCTAGATGTATTCCCAGAAGTGGAGTCACTGGGTCAAAAGGCATTCCATTTTTAATTTTTTGAGAAAACTCCATACTGTTTCCACAGCGGCTGCACCAGCCTGCATTTCTACCAGCAGTGTAGTAGGGTTCCCTTTTCTCTACATCTTCGCCAGCACTTGCTCTTTGTTGATTTCTTGATGGTAGCCATTCTGGCAGGTGTGAAATGATACCACATTGTCATTTTAATTTGCATCTCTCTGATGATTAGTGACTTCGAGCATTCTTTCATATGTCTATTGGCCATCTGTATATCCTCTTTGGAGAAGTGTCTATTCAGGTTCTTTGCGCAATTTTTGTTGAGTTGTTTGTCTTCATGGTGTTGAGTTGTATACATTCTTTATATATTTTGGAAATTACCTCTTATCAGATGTATCATTGGCAAATATGTTCTCCCATACAGTGGGTCACTTTTCATTTTGTTGATGATTTCTTTTGCTGTGCAGAAGTTTTTTAGTTCAATGTAGTCCCATTTGTTTATTTTTTCCTTTGTTTCTCTTGCCCTAGGTCAGTGATGGTGAATCTTTTGAGCTCGGTGTGTCAGCATTTTGAAAAACCCTAACTTAACTCTGGTGCCGTGTCACATATAGAAATTTTTTGATATTTGCAACCATAGTAAAACAAAGACTTATATTTTTGATATTTATTTTATATATTTAAATGCCATTTAACAAAGAAAAATCAACCAAAAAAATGAGTCCACGTATCACCTCTGACACACGTGTCATAGGTTCGCCAACACTGCCCTAGGTGATATATTGGTGAAAATACTGCTTTGTGAGATGTCTGAGATTTTACTGCCTATGTTTTCTTCTAGGATTTTTATGATTTTTTTCAACTTATATTTGTCTTTTATTCATTTTGAGTTTGTTCTTGTGTATGGTGTAAATTGGTGGTCTAGTTTCTTCCTTCCTTCCTTCCTTCCTTCCTTCCTTCCTTCCGTCCTTGCTTTCCTTCTTTCTTTCTTTCTTTCTTTCTTTCTTTCTTTCTTTCTTTCTTTTTCTTTCTTTCTTTCTTTCTTTCTTTCTTTCTTTCTTTCTTTCTTTCTTTCTTTCTTTCTTTCTTTCTTTCTTCTTCCTTTCTTCTTTTGCATGTATCTGTCCAATTTTCCTAACACCATTTGTTGAAGAGACTGTCTTTACTCAATTGTATGCTCTTGCCTCCTTTGTCAAATATTAATTGACCATAATAGCATGGATTGATTTCTGGGGTCTCTATTCTGTATAATTGATCTATATGCCTGTTCTTGTGCCAGTACTGGGCTGGGGTTTTTTTGGTGTGGGTTGTGTGTGTGTGTGTGTGTGTGTGTGTGTGTGTGTGTGTGTGTGTTTTGTTTGTTTTGTTTTTGTTTTTGTTTATGTTTGTGGTTGTTTTTTTGTTAATCTTTACCCAAGGATATTTTTTCCATTGATTTTTTTTTTAAGAGAGGGGGGTAGAAACAGAGAGAGAAACATTGATGTGAGAGAGGCACATCTATTGGTTCCCTTCACACAGGCCCTGACCCCGACCAGGGATCAAGCCTGCAACCAAGGTATGTGCCCCTGACCAGAATCAAATCCGAGACCCTTCAGTCCATGAGCCAACACTCTAACCACTAAGCTAAACTGGCTAGGGACAAGCTGTTTTGATTACAATGGGTTTGTAGTATATTTTGATATCTGATATTGCAATCCTTCCAACTTTGTTCTTCTTTTTCAAGATTGCTGAGGCTATTCGAGGCCTTTTTGGTTCCATGCAAATTTTTGAAATGTTTGTTCTGTGAAATATGGCATTGGTATTTTAATAGAGTCTATAGATTGCTTTGAGTAGTATGGACATTTTAATGATGTTAATTCTTCCAATCCATGAACACAGTATATGATTCCACTTGTTTGTATCTCCCTCTATTTCTTTTTTCAGTATCCTATAGTTTTTTGAGTACAGGTCTTTTACCTCCTTGGTTAAGTTTATTCCCAGATATCTTATATTTTATTGCAATAGTAAATAAGATAATTTTTTTAGTTTCTCTGAGAGTTCATTATTGCTGTATAAAAACACCATCAATTTCTGGATATAAATTTTGTATCCTACTACCTTGCCAAATTTACTTATTAAATCTAATCATTTTTGGTGGAGTCTGTAGGGTTTTATATGTATAGTATCATGTCATCTGTGAATAATGACAGTTTTACTTCCTCCTTCCCAATTTGGATGCTTTTTATTTTTTCTTCTTGTCTGATTGCTGTGGCTAGGACTTCTAGTGCTATGCTGAATAAGAGTGGTGAAAGTGGAAATCGCTGTCTTGTTCCTGATCTTAAGGGAAATGCTTTTAGTTTTTGTCCATTGAGTATAATGTTGGCTGTAGGTGTGTCATATATGGTTTTAATTATGTTGAGGGATGATCCCTCTATTCCAACTTTGCTGAGAATTTTTTTAAAAATAGGAGCTGGATTTTGTCGAGTGCTTTTTCCATGTCTATTGATAGGATCAAATAATTTTTTTAAATATTTTTTTATTGATTTTTTACAGAGAGGAAGGGAGAGGGATAGAGAGAGAAGCATCAATCAGCCACCTCCTGCATACCCACTACTGGGGATGTGCCTGCAACCAAGGTACATGCCCTTGACCAGAATCGAACCCGGGACTCTTCAGTCCCAAGGCCGACGCTCTATCCAGTGAGCCAAACCAGCCAGGGCTAATTTTTATCCTTCATTTTGTTTATGGTAATATTTGCAAATATTGTACCAACCTTGCATCCCTGGAATAAATCCCACTTGGTCATGGTGTATGATCTTTTTATTTTTGCTGGGTCTGATTTGCTAATATTTTGTTGAGGATTTTAGTATCTATGTTCATCAGGGATATTGGTCTATAATTTTCTTTCTTTATAGAGTATCTGTTTTTGGAATTAGGATAATGGTGGCCTTGTAAAAAGAGCTTGGAAGTCTTCCTTCCTCTTGATTTTTTGGAATACTTTGAGGAGGCTCTAATTTTAGTCTTATGTTGTTACACTTATGTTTACTTACCCCTGTTTTCTTAAGTCTATCAATATCTGTATACTCACTCCTGAACAATACAAATACTATCACATCCCTTAATCTTACCCCATGCACCACCTCCATTATGTTAATATTGTCCAGAAGTTAGTTATGAGTTATATGAATACACATATTTTCCTTCTCTAATCTTTGTTTTTCCTCATTTTTACTGAGATATAATTTATATATAGTCAAATTCACAGACCTTAAGTGTATAATTAATTTGGACAAATGTAAGTATTCATACAATCATCACCCAATTCAAGATAAAGGACATTACAGAACACTATAAATTTTATTTATGCACCCTTCCAGTCAACTCTTTTCACTAGAGCCAACTGCTATTCTGATTTCTATCATCATAGATTAGTTTGTTGCTTCTAGAATTCTTATTAAGAGAATCATGTAATATCTACCTTTTGTGTTTGTTGTTGCATTTATCAGTTGTTTTATTTTACTTTAAATATTTTTATTGATTTTAGAGAGAGGGGAAGGAGAGGGAGAGAGAGACAGAAACATCAATGGGAGAGAAACAAGGCTGCCTTCTTCATGCCCCCCACCCAGGATCCAGCCTGTATGTGCCCTGGGCATGTGACCTGACCGGGAATCAAACCGACGACCTCTCAGTGCCTGGGATAATGTTTAATCAACTGAGCCACACAGGCCAGACACTTGTTTTATTTTATTGCTGAGTGCTATTTATTTTATGAATCTATCAAAACTTGCTTATCTATTTTTCCATTGGTGGATATTTACTTTTTTTTCAATTTGGGAATATTATGAATATGGCAGCTATCAACATTCTCACATAAGATTTTTGTGGACATGACTAGAATTGCTGGATCATAATTGCTCTAAGGGTGTGATGCAACTTCTCCACTGGCTACCTGAACTTCTACAAAAGCCTTCTCATCCATGGATGATTACCAGAGTTGATGTTCTTTGAGTAGGTAAGTGGTAGGAAACTCTTATTTCATCATGTTTATGATGTCATTCCTCCTGGTTTTACACTTTTATCTACCTAGTGTCTTGGTCACATACCAGATGTCTAGCAAACAAGTCCAGGCTTCTACAGACCTATTTATCAAGCAGCTCAAGGGGCACAAGATTGTGGTTGTGGGATCAGTCATTGCAATTTGGGTAAGTACGCCTCTTTCCACTTGTCTCTGTCTATCCATAGAGCATGAACCAGTTACTTTCTGGGCAAAAGAGGCTCTCCATTTCGACATTCCATTTTCCTGTTTCTAATCCATGAACAGAAGTGTCATGGAGGGACTAGTTCATAGAGAGAGAATGAGCACATAGTATCAGGTAGAAGCAGCTGTAAGAGTATCCAAAACACTAGCCCAAAAGAGTTATTGGAGGGGAAAGTAGAAACCTAAGCTATTTATGCTTTCTATATCCCTGAATTGTTATATTTCTGTCCTAATTCTCCTGGCTCTTTCCAGTTCTTAAAACTAAGAAGGCCACTATTACCTCCATACCTTGTCTAAGGATACCCTCTTCCCTCTTCCTACCTGGTGCACATGTAAAAGGTTCCTTTTCCTTTTGCTTCTGCTTTGTAAAAAAAAGTTGAATTCTTTAAAAAAAAAAAAAAAAAGGAGCTTTACCAGAAATAATTAAGGGAAACAAGTAAAAGAAAACTCAAACACATAAATCTATGTGTTTACAAAGGAAAACCATTTGAACAAAGGACAAAATATCCTTTCTTATTTTTAGTCCAACTCAGGTCTGTATCAGAGAACAGGAAACAGGAATTCAGTAGAGAAGTGATATATCAGAATAGAGTTTCTATCTTAAGAGAAAGAGGAAAAGGTTGCCCCAAGATATGACTGACTTCCTGATATGACTATAGACCAATAAGTTTTTGGACTACCCTGTCCTCTTGTAGCCCAGAACCTCTTTACTTTCTACCATAAATCAGACAGTTCATACTAAGGAAATTCAGTTCCTTCATCTACTGTCTTATATATATTGAAATCCAGGCCTAACCTGGTTATGGTCACTAATATTGTGCTCCTTAACAAATGAATTCCTCTCTCTCTCTCTCTCTCTCTCTCTCCCTCTCTTCAAATGTTTTAAATAATAAAAAGTTGTGTCCTCTGATCACTACTGAAATACATTAGAAATCAATAACAAAAAGGTTTCTAGAAAATTCCCAAATATTTAGAAACTAAATAACATACTTCTTAATAACCCAATGGGTCAAAGGAGAACTCTGAAAGGAAATTAGAAAGTATTTTGAATGGAAGGAAAATGAAAACAGGCTTATAAAATTTTGTGAAATACTCAGAGGGAAATTTATGGTATTAAATGTCTTTGTCAGAAAAGAAGTAAGATCTCAAATCAATTAATTCAGTTTCCATCTCAAGAAACTAGAAAAAAGAAGAGCAAATTAAAACCTATGAAATTAGAAGAAAGGAAAAAAATATCCTAGCAGAAATAAATAAAATAAAAAACAGAAAGTCAATATAAAAAATCAATTCATTGTAAGTTGGTTCTATGAGATCAATAAAATTGATTAGCTTCTAGTCAAACTAATCAGGAAAAAATAATAGACACAAATGATCAATAGTAGGAATGCAAAAGGTATTTTCAATACATATTCTACAGATATCCTATATAATAAAAGGCCAGCGACCATAATGACCAGAACAACCACTCAACCAGTCACTATGAGGTGCATTGACCACCTCTTGGTCCCTCCCCTTCGGCCCGTAGGCTCTGATCGCAGAATGGCAAATGGGGAACCACGGGGAAACAGGTGGGTGGCAGCAGCGGCCAGAGTAAAGCAGCCCAGGTCCTGGGTGTCCGGCGGCAGTGGCCGGAGCAAAGCCTGGAGGGAAGCCAATGCCAGCAGCTGGGGGAAGGAAGGCCTACTCTTGCATGAATTTTTGTACATCAAGCCTCTAGTCCTATATGATAAAAGGCTAATATGCAAATCCACCAAACAGCAGAAGGACTGGTTGCTATGACACACACTAACTACCAGGAGGCAGACGCTCAACACAGGAGCTGCCCCCAGCCCACAGGCCCCAGGCCAGCCACGGCAGGAAAGAGTGGGGGACCCCCAATCACCCCACCAGTCACCCCGCAGAGGGAGGCGACCAGTGGTGGTGGGGAGGGGTGGGGCCAGCGAGCAGGCAGCTCCAGGCCAGCCAAGTCGAGTGCCAGCAGGGGCCCCCCCTGATCACCCCACCAGTCACCCCACAGATTGGCCCTGATTGCCAGCCAGGCCTAGGGATCCTACCTGTGCATGAATTTCATGCACCGGCCCTCTAGTGTAATATAAGCAGAGGAGGCCTAAGATGGCTGTAGTGTAGGAGGACACTGAACTTTCCCTCTCCCATAAGCAAAATTTAAGTGGAAGACTCCTGGATGGAGATTTTGGAAAAATGTGTGGTTTTCCCCCCTAATTAAACGGGGAAAATTCACCAAGCACAATTTGCCATTCCCTATGTTCTTGCTGGTACATGAACATGAGCACTGGAGGTACAACCATCTTGCACTATGGGCAACAAGTAACATGATAAAGATAGTAGATAGTCTGGATTCTGAATGATGTTGTTGAGCCACTAACCATCCCTTGATGTCCTACTCCTGGACCTGGTGTTATGTGAGAAAAATAAGACCATCATTCTTAAGCCATTATGTGTTGGGTTTTCTGTAATTGGCAGCTAAACCATTCCTAACTTACATAACTAAATTAGTTGAGCTTTTTTTTTTTCTGACATTTATTTTCTTTTTAAAGTTTCCCTTCTATAAATTGCCTTTTTAGGCCATCTGGCATAGCTTAGTGGTTAAGCATTGACCTATGAACCAGGAGATCGCGGTTTGATTCCTGGTCAGGGCACATGCCTAGATTTCTGGTTTTATCCCCAGTAGGGGGTGTGTAGGATGCAGCTGGTCAATGATTCTCTCATTATTGATGTTTCTATCTCTCTCTCTCTCTCCCTTTCTCTCTGAAATTAACAATTATATATACACTGAGTGGCCAGATTACTATGACTGGCCAGATTATTATGACCAACCCATCAATACAATGAAGTGAATTAGTTATGCAAATAATAATAATAATAATAAAACCTTGAGAGTATTTGCTTAGGAAGTTTTCAATATTCAGTATTTTTGGAAGTGTCAATGAAGTACTGATGGGGTGGTCATAATAATCTGGCCAGTCATAATAATCTGGCCACTCAGTGTAGTATAGATTGCCTGTTTATATACTTTGCCCATTTTTGTATTGAATTATTTATCTTTTTCATGTTGATTTGTGTTCATTCCTCCTGTTTTCTGGGTTTAATCCTTTGTCTATTATATATGTTGCAAATACCATATTTTGTCAATTCTAAGATGTTTATTTTTTCATACTTGAACATTTCTGAAATTGAGATGTGTCTTATAAATTATGGTATCTCATATTGCAGTCAACTGGGGGCAGAGTTGGCTTTGCAATAGTCATAACCTGAGGTATATTTGCCAGGAAGCCAAGTTTCAGAGTCCTTCATTTATATAGATCTCTTCCAAGACCTTGGGAAGGATGCTAACACTGTCATGTGTTTTTGTAAAATTTACATAGTAAAATATTTTAATCTCAACGTGGTAAGGTCAGTATCTTTCTATTACAGCTTCCTTCATGTCAGGTGATGTTGGAGTGGTCAGAGGCTCTCTTTTTCTTTTCTTTTTTTTTCTTTTTTTTTTTTTTTTAGAGCCCACTAAAGTAAGTTTGAATTGAGGAACATTTAGTTTTTATGTAATGTGATTTTCCGTCATTCCTGCGTATAGTTAAGTTATAGCTAAATGTCTTGGAATAGGAATGGCTTCCAAGAACACTCCTATCCCACACTGTGCCAGCTCAGCATCATGACACAAAGAAAGAGCCAGAGATCCTATCATGATATTAGTGTTTCCTGTGACACTCAGCACCAGGATTATGTGGGGAGTGGAAGACAAACAAGGTTTGAAATGGCCTTTCCTTTCTTATTGCAAGATGTTTGATGCATCTCCAGGCACCGAATCCACATCCCAGGTGGAAATAAAATAGGGCAGCAAGCTGGTCCCTTTTATTAGGTGAGTGGAAGCTGTCTCTGATACCTCTCTTCAGATCTCTCCTCATATCTTACTAACCAGAGCTGGGAAACTCTAGAGAAAATTGAAAAAAAATGTGGAATGTGAACGTTATTATTGGCTTGGACCAATAATAATGTATTGCATGATGATAATGTATCACATGTAGCTTTATTCTACCCCAAATAAAAATGGGATATTGGCTAGGCAACCAACAGTGTCAGTCAGAAACACTCTCCCCAAATCTAGACAGTTGGAAACCTGCCTTTAGGAGAGCTGGATCTGCACAAAAGACACACATATGCAGAATCAGTGTCTCACATATGCAGGTCCTGAGAGTTCAGAAATGGGGGAAGAGAGAAAAGAAGCAAGAAGGGCCTCCATGTCAATAGGACTCATATTATCCCCACACAAAACTCACACCCACTTGCTTTAGAAAATGATGGTAAATTCCCCCTCTTCTGAGCAGCAAACCAGAAAACAAAGTTCCTAGAGCCCTGTACGTAATATAATCCAACCTCTGGTTTTGCCGAAGACCAAAGCTGAGCTTCAGAGGTATCTGAAGATAAGTCAATAGGCAAAGAAGAGAAAAGTTTCTTGGTTTTAGCTCCACCAGACTACTAGTTGCTCTGCATAGAACAACTTATGAGCTTAAATTTTATTGGGAAACTTCTCCCACTGGGAGTGATGGATGGTGTCCTGCGCGTACAACAGCAGCAGGGGACATTCACCTCTGCATGTTGCTTCCTCTTGCAGAGGAAGCGGTGTGGGCTATTGCTTTCCTTTCAAGAAATGTGAAAATCTGCAATAACCAATTTAAAAAGCATGTGAAAATGTGCAGTAACAAGACCCTCAGCATCAGCTCTTACTTGAAGGGTCCATCTTCCCCCTATCATGTATGTTTAAAACTTCTTAATTTCCTGTTCCCCACTAAGTTCCATGGTCCTGATATCCAATTGCTGCATACACTGTGGGTTCTGCAAGTGGCACGATGGAACAAAATCCATCACCATATCTTTGTCTTCTGTGGTCTGTGCAAAGGCTATGGCCACTGCCTCTTGCATGGAAATCGCTTTGTCCCATGAAACATGTCTCCAGGGAGGTAGTTTCTGTCTCAGCCCATGTTGGTTTCATCTTCAGCAGATTCCTGAACTACATCTGGTGGCTCTGAAGCTTTTGCCTCATTCTAGAAATATTCTCCTATTCTTCCCTACTAACCCAAACCTGTGCCCAGTAAGGAAAAGGGGGAAGACTGTATGTCCAGACTCCACTACAGGCAAGAGTGGTCAATGAAACATAAACAAAAGTTGTAGTATGGGACTTTTAAAGCTATTTTGGTGCTATATCATTCCTCCTTCCTGCTGATCCCAAAGTAAACATGATGGCTGGCGCTCCAGCAGCCTTCTTGGGACCAGGAGAGAACTGTCAAGAGATCACAAAGACCTTGCCCTTACATCCTTAAGACACTGAACTAAGGCCACCAATTGTCTATTTCCAGACAGTTATTTTGAGAAAAATAAACCTTCCTTTGTTTATGCCACTGAAGGTAGTGTCTGTTACTACCAGCCCAAAGCAATTCCTACCTAACACATTTGCCTTTCTCCTATTTTTGCATTTTTCAGTATTTGAGTAACCTGTGTTACTCAATATCGGCAAAAATATTTCAGTGTCACATCATTCTTTGTAGAAGAGGGTTTGTTTCTGGCATGATATTTCTCTCCATTGTTCGCTAGTCACTTCAGAAGGTTTCAACTATGCTTTTAATATTTTAACATGCTTTTTAAATTAGTCCATTTTCCTGTCCTTCATATGGCCTTTATATGTCACCTTTTTCTTTGCATTCCCCCCCCTTTTTTTTTAACCAACTCTTATCTACCCCTGGAGAGATGAGCCCCCTCAACCTGACCTAGGGTGGAGGTGATATACTTTGGAATACAACACAAACAAACCCCTATGCTCTCTTGTCTTGGTAATCTAACTCTAGTTTTAGGAACAGATCGTTAGATCAAAGTCAATAGCAGATGCCCAGTTTTTGCTTGTTGAAGCCCAAGCAGTTAAAATATAGCTTCAAGACAGTTGCTATAAACCACGATGTGCCTGCAGGGACCAGAAGCCGGTGCTTACTAAAGAACATGCAACCAGTTTAGGGAGGACCTAGTTGGAGTATAAACTTGAAATAATTTTAATTCTTCCCATTGTTGCCATCAACTGTCTGTTAAATGCTATCCTTCCCTTGAGCTCCCTTAACCACATCTCAGTCTAATTCCATACATTTTAAGTCAATTTCAATTCTTATATCAGTCGAGTTTGTTTGTCTAAGACTCAGTGCTATTCATTTGCAACTTCGACCTTATGTCCTATTTAAAGCTCCTTCCCTTCTCCTTCCTCCCCTCTTGCCAAGTTCAGCTAAGGCGCCCGCTGATTTGAGTTGGAGAGAGAGGCATGCTCTGCTCACACATACCTTTCTCATTCTTCTTCCCTCTATTCTCCCTTCGATATTGGGAAGAAAAACCAAGAAACTGAAAGTAAACAGGTTCCTTCCTATCACCAACCTGCGTGAAGCGGACATTGCTTCTTGATCACAGTTGCTGACCATCTCATTGGCTATTGGCTTGAAGAAGGGGTGGTGGCTCCAATAGGTCCTGTGGATAAAGGGCTTAATCCCAAGCCACTCCCAGAGTCATCAGTGGTCTCTTGTGGTTCTCCATCATATCATGTCTCATTCCCCAATTGCATATGTCTTTTGACCGCATGGTACATTGGTCTCTGGTCAGACAGTGGCCACCCCAGTTCTCGGTCACAAACTGCACCAGCAACTCCTGTGATATGACACAGAAAAATTCAAATTCCAGGGACTTAATTAAGGGCCTCTAGGATAGGTCTCAATACTTTGCATGAAGGAAATTTCTCCTTCTGCCCCTTCCCTTCTGTACCAGTTCTCCCTTCCTGATGTACTTCCAAAGTATTTTTTTTCCTGCTTATGTTGATTTTATCCAGGAGAAATGTAAGGAGAGGTGTTTGGGCATCCCTAGTGCCCTGACCCGTGTGAGACCTGCTAATATCAAATGGCCAGGAGTGTGTTTATATAACTTAATGTCTATGCTGTGAGGAAACTCTGAGAAAGAGGGTCAAGATCCTTGATGCTAAGGTGTAGTCAGAAAATAAATCAGACGCAGGGTAGATAAATGCTAGAGACCACCAAATGCTGATGGGCCTTCTAACTGGATTAACTTCCTTCCCTGGGAGGAATTGCTAGGCACTTGTACTATGATTTTGAGCCGTATGGGTGTTTCCTGTGAAGCAAGGCCAACTTAGGTTTGTGCTTACCTGGGACTTGGATTTTTGTTGGGGGCTGAAGAGAACTGGAGCCCCAGCCTACTCCCTCCCCCAAACCCCATTTGTTCTGCACATGGCTCACCTTTGTGCCTCAGGACCCTTCATATCCACTCCATCAACTGTTCCTCCTTCTAAGTCCAGGTTGGACATGCCTAGTAGAGACAGGGGTTGTGGAAAGAGAAATAGAAGGGGGAGGTGGATTTACTCTGGTTTTGGAGTCCAGAGAGAAGATGGACTTGTAAGGAGTGGGGAGGGCTAGAAATGAGGGGTGGGGGTGGGTCCAAGCCTGGACCCCCTCTGGTGGCAGTGGAATGTGTGTCAGAGGTAAGCAGGTGGTCAGCAGAAGCCAGTAGGGACCAGCAGACAGAGATGTTATTTATTCTCTGGGATTTAGCAAAACTCACAGAAATATGGTTTTAAACATGAGATGGTATTTACAGATGTGTGTGGTGGTGGCTCAGACAACAGCTTTGGGTCAGAAGCAGCAAAAAGAAAGGCAGATAGGATCCCTGTCTGAGACCCACCAAGCAGAGGAGGACTAAGTTTGGTGAATTGAAAACTTCTTTACAGAAAAAAATATGAAGAGGCAAAAATCACTGACTGGTTCCTCTTTTTCTCCCCACAGATCTTGTATACCAGGGTTTCCTGGCCTGATAGTGCTGTCCCTCTGTCCCCAAGGCCTCGCCCTGCCCGCAAATCCTCTGGCTCTCTCCCCCCGAAGCTCTCAGACTTAACCCACCTTCTGCACTGGCCTCTGACTCCAGGAGATGGGGGGGACTTTTTGACCTCCACCAGCCCTGAGACCTCCACCTACCACCTGAAGGGTCCTGCACAGGCCAGCTATGCCCTGGGAGGCTACTTGGAGGCCATCCTTATTGCCAGAGACCATAGGGGCAAGCCCAAGACCCACGGTGGGGATCTGTTTAGGACAAAGCTGTTGGGTCCTGACTTGAAGGCAGGGGTCCCTGGGGATGTCCAGGATCTGGAGAACGGCACATACCTGCTGTCCTTCCCCCTTTTCTGGTCTGGGCAGGCCCAGGTGCAAGTTCGGCTAATCCACTCCAGTGAGGCAGTTGGGGTTCTTCGAAGAATCTGGAGGGACCAATGGGCCACAGTCGATTTCATGGGCTATTTTCGGGGACCCACAGGATATGAAGAAACTGTGACTTGCAATATTAACCCCCTGTTAACTGGAGAGGAAGAGTCTGCCTGTCACTATAGGGATGAAGATTCGGGGGAGCTCTGGTTCTGCGCTCGACCACCCACCCTGCCCTGCGACTCACTGGTGGGACATTCAAGTGGACGTTACTGGAATGTGACCACACCACAAGAGGAGGCCCTGCTGCTGAGGTAAGAAACCCAGCATTCTTGGAAACTGCCCCAACTCCTAAATCCTTGTCCCTACGAGTCTTCTGCCTGAGTCCCTGCCCTTATCATTCTCTATTCACTCCTACTATGTACACCTCCTGAGCACCTATTATATGCCCATGCCAAGTGCTGACTACTTATGCATAATCATCAGCTTCCCTGCCTTCTACACATTTTCAATGAAGAGATGCATGCCTTTTTAAAACATGAAGTGTAATAGGTGCTTAACTGTATGCACTGCGTGGTTTGAAGACATGGAGAAAGGGCACCCCATCTGGTCTATGACGGTAAGGGCAGGTGACAATTTAGCTGAAACTTAAGGAGGAACCACAGACCCCTGGCAAAGGAGAAGTGTCCTAATCCCCTCCCCCCTTCTGATGGCCCCTGCAAGGAGAGATGTAGATTTAGAAGTCACCGGCATGTATGGTCAGAGAGTAGAGAGGATGGATATGATTTCACTGAGTGAGACAGAAACAGAGGCTGCAGCCTGTAAGCCAAGCAAAAGAGGCTGAGAATTGTCCTCAGTCTCAGGGAGCAAGCCTCCTGGGTGGACAGAGAATGGGATTGAGGGAGAGGAGACCATGAAAAGAGACTTGCTCACAGTGAGTCCTTCTGGCCTTGAGATCAGAGGCAGGTGCTGGAGAGACCCCAGGGATGAGGGAAGCATTTTTTAAAATGGAACACCTAGGCGTCTGGTCTCCAGTAGAGAGACAGTAGGGGAAGGAAGCAAAAACAGGGTCCCAGAAGATGGCTGGGGGTGGGGGTGGGATGAGGAAGAGAAGAAGTGGCGGGACACCCCCTCTGAGAGGAAAAAAGAGAAGAGGCTAGAGCCAGAGGCAGAGATGTTTTAGGTGGGAGGACTGACAGGTGAGGTGTCTGGTGCTCTGTGACCCCAAAAAGCATGGAAGTTATCACTGCTGCTAGGAGGATAAAGCACCAAGGCAAGCTGAGCTGGAGACACCCGAGGTGCCAGCTCCACCAGACACCCATCTCTGGAGGCTCTCAGCCACTCTTCTTGTCTGGCGAATTCCCACTAACATTTACCTCCTGACATAAAAATTTAGCACCAGGACCAATTTTCATGCTCCCTTTGGTCAGAAAGGGAGAACCACCTATCTCATTTGCATTAGTCAACTGGAAATAAATCTAAGATTCAATACTGACATCCTAGTCTCAGGATGTTGCTTGGAGGAAAACCCAAGAGTCTCCAGAGTGAGACTGTGAGGTTTGAATCCCTTCTCCAACTGTCACTGTTTGCCAGCTTGTATTCATGTGACCTCTAGCAAGTTACTTATCCTTTCTGTACCTCTGTTCTCTAATTTGTAAAGGGGATAATAATAATACCACTGTCATAGACTTGTGGAAGAAACTAATAAATTAATGTGTGTAAAGGGCTTAGAACTTTTATCATCTGATTTCAGATGTTTGCTTCTCTTGAGTCTTATCCCACCCCCAACTCTGTGCTAGATACCATCCAAAGTCCTGGAGGTGCTGGGGAGAGGAGAACAGGGCAGGATGGCCTCATCCTGCAGGAGCTGACAGTGTACTGATGGAATACAGGCATTAAACAGATAATCACACATGCGACAAATGTGCAGTGGGCATGAATTTGCAACCCAAGCTCAAGTGTTTTCTTTACATCAACTTTAGTCGAATCTTGAGGACCGCTGCAACAGGGCTGGTGAGGAGTGTTCTCCTTGTCTAGGGCTCTGCCAAGGAACTGACACTTGATCATGGGGGATCTTTCCTTCTTTAGTCAACTGCCCACACTGGTCACTTCAAAGTGTCCATTGTCCAAGCCTGTGTGGTCTTGAGCTCTGCTAGGACAGGCATCTCCAACTGGGTCCAGAGCCCCTGGAATAATCCCACACCTGCTTCCTGAAATTTTATACCTCTATGGGCCACCAGGGCCCTAACACTCTTAGGATAGGCCATGCTTGCACATCTTTTCAAAATTCCAGGAATATTTTCTTGCACTCCTCCTCCTCCTCTCTGAAAGTAAATTCCCTCTCCTCTATGACACAACCTCTTCAATCAGTCTATCCCTTCTTTTAGCAAATGCTTACTGCACACCCGTTATGAGTATGGCTCTGCAGTAGACACTTGGAAAGCAGCAGTGAACAAACAGACAAGGACCCTGCCCTGGTAAAGCTTACATATGACTGAAGAAAGAGATGATAAACAATAAACATAACAATAAGTACATTACATAGGATGTTAGAAGAAGATCCGTACTATGGGAAATTTTAAATATGGAGGAGGTGAGGATTAGGAGTATGTCCAGGGCAGGTTGCAATGTTAAATAGGGGGATCAGGGTAGACCTCGTTAAGAAGATGACATCTGCCCTGGCCGGTGTTGCTCAGAGGATAGAGTGTCGGCTCGGACACTAAAGGGTCTCGGGTTCGATTCCAGGTCAAGGGCATGTACCTAGGATGTACCTGGGTTGCAAGTTCCATCCCTAGCCCTGGATGGGGCACATGTGGGAAGCAACCAATCAATATATTTCTCTCACATCAATGTTTCTCTCTCTCCCCCCCCCCTTTCTCCCTCTCTTCACTCTCTCTAAATATTAATGAAAAAAAAAGGGGAGACTGGGGGAAGGTCAATGGGGGGGGGGAGAAGATATATGTACTACTATGTGTAATATTTTAAACAATAAAAATTTATATATAAATAAAAATTAATGAAAAAATATCCTCAGGTGAGGATTACAAAAAAAAAAAAAAGGAAAGAAAAAAAGAAGAAGAAGACACCTGAGCAAAGACTCAAGGGGGATGAGAGAGTTGGCCAAGGATATACCTGGAAGAAGAGGGTTCCAGGCAGAGAGTGTGCAGCAGTATGACTAGTAGTGTCTGAGGAACATTAAGGAAGACAGACAGGTAGATGGAGTAAAGAATAGGGAGGTGGACCCAGCTGGCGTGACTCAGTGGTTGAGCATTGACCTATAAACCAAGAGGGCACAGTTTGATTCCCAGTCATGTGCAACCCTGCACATGCCAGGGTTGCAGGCTCGATCCCTATTGTGGGCATTCAGGAAACAGCCAATCAGTGATTCTCTCTCATCACTGATGTTTCTGTCTCTCTCTCCCTCTCCCTTCCTCTCTGAAATCAATAAAAATACATTAAAAACAAAAAAGAATAGGGAGGTGGTGGGTGAAAAGACCAGCGAGATTACGGGAAGGACGTGGCATAATTAAGGAAGGGCTCTCTAAATATGTTAGGTTTTGCTGTATAAGATAAAAGGGATCACTGCAGGAGTTTGAGCAGAAGATGGACTTGATGTGATTTACATTTTTAAAGCGTGTCTTGGCCCACCGTGTTGAGAATGGATTACAGAAGGTTAAGGGAGAAGCAGGGAGAACGAAAAATAGGAGGCCTTGACCTCAGGTTGCAGTGGTGGTGTCAAAGGGATTCACTTCTAGATATATTCTGAAGCAGCACCCATAGGATTTCCTGAGAGATACGACATGGGATGTACTAAAAAGTGAGAACTCTCAGATGGCACAGGGTTTGGGGCCTGCTCACCTGGAATGACAGAGTTGCCATCTGCTGAAGTGGGGAAAACTCTGGGTGAGGCAGGTGGTCACATGTGTCAGACATCAGGTGGAGTCATTGGACAGATGGGCAGATACACAAATCTGGACTTGACAGAGAAACTGGGCTGGAGATCTAAATGTGAAAGTTAAAGTCAGGAAGTGGAGTGGGACCACCAAGGGAGGGAATGTGACTGCAATAGAGGAGTGAGGTTGAGGAGAAGGGGGCTAGCAAAAGGGGCTACCAGGAGAGGGAGGTGTCCTGATAACCAAGAGGAAAACAAGCCTCAAGGAGGAGGGAGCTACTGCTGGGCTGACAAAGGTCAGGAATGACAAGGGCTGAGAACTGATAATGAATTTTGCCATTTCTGAGAGTGAGTGTGAGAGGGAAAGCCCAACTGGAGTGAGTTCAGTGAGACCAACAGGAGAGTTAAGACTTCTTGTCAAATGCCCCAATCACCTTCTCCTATAAGTCATGTTTTTAGAGTTCTATATTTTGTGATGCTTTGACATTTGGGGCCTTGTACGACTGCCCCTCCAGGATTAGCTGACTCCTAGAGATATCAAACAACTTGTCTTGAGCACACCTTTGATACGCAACCCACCCCTCCTGAGTCCACACCACCACTCCTCTTCCTTTTATCAGGCTCTGGCAGCCAGACACCATCTCCCTGCCTGAAGTCCCTCAGGACCAAGTACCAGACAACTAGAGATTACCCCTATAGCCCAGAGCCCACTGAAATTACTCAAACTATTCACTCCTAAACCTACTCAGCTGTTAACCTTTCCTCACCCATTCCTTCCTGCAAAAAACACAATAAAGACTTTTGCCCACATTTTCTCCTGCTCCTTATGCCTCTTGACCAACCCTGGTGCTTCCCCCATGTGGCCCTGCATGGAGCATCATGTCCTCGCGTCTCAGGACTGTACCACTATTTTTTCCATGGCGATCATCTCCTGATCTATTGACCTTACCATATCTAAATAAAACCAAAATACTAGGTACATTTTTTAAAATATTTTTTTATTGATTTCAGAGAGGAAGGGAGAAAGAGAAATGTCAATGATGAGAGAGAATCATTGATCGGCTGCCTCCTGCATGCTCCCTACTAGGGATAGAGCCAGGACTTGGGCATGTGCCCTGACTGGGAATAAAACCATGATCTCCTGGTTCATAGGTCGATGCTCAATCACTGAGTCACACCAGACTCCTAGGTACATTTTAAAACATCTGCTTTCCACACTGATGAAATCCTGAGGCCAGGAAAGTCAAAAAGCCTGGATCCCTGAACTCTAGTTTCTAGCCCCTCTCTAGTCCTAGAGCCCTCACTGTCTCCCAAAAGCCCTGACTCTGGACAGATGCCCTTGACTCTGAGAACTTCCTTTTCCCCAAGAACCTCCATTTCACCTTAGCCCAAGATTCCTTCCTATAACACATTTCCATTAAGGATTCCTTTCTTGCCAATTGGTTTCTCTTCAGGAATGTGACAGACAAGGTCCTCCCTCAGGGTATTTCTCCAATCTGGGTGGCCAAGGAGAGCGATAGGAGCCTGGGTAAGTAGCACTGGGGCCTACAGAAAAGGCAGCACTTACCCCGTGCCTGTAGCTTTAGTTTTCTTCTGTGCCCACTGATTGTTTTGCTTACAAACAACTGCTTCCAGTGCTGTCCCCCAAACAACTGTGCCATCCTGGGATCCTGGGCCCAAAGCCCTCTGGCTTCTTCCACCGAGGAGTGTGGCACTCTCTTTCCTGCTCTGGCCGCTCCTTCTCCACCGTTGACAGCATCCTGGGCTGCCTGGCTGGTCACGTCGTCCACATGATGGGGGACTCCACGCTGCGGCAGTGGTGGGAGTATCTGCGTGACACTGTGCCTTGTGAGTGGCCGTGAGGGGAGAGGGCACAACTCCTAAGAGAAAAAGAGCAGAACCAGGGCTTTGAGAAGGCATAAAGCATCTACCTGGATTCAGGAGAGTGATATAAAAGGACAGGACGCCTGATTCCCTTAAGGAAGGGATGGGAAACAATGCCCAGATTATGCATAATCTCAATAATTAATCAGAAGCTCTAACAGGAGAGTAGATATGTTTGATGAGCCATGAATAGATAGCCTTGGCCGGAACTAATTAGTTGCTTGGGGGATCCTGGAGGAATAGAGTTGGAATTGAAGAAAATAATTGTAGAGAAACCAGGGGTTTTGTCTTGTGACATTTGGGAGACACCAACTGTTTTTAAGCAGTTTTTGGTTTGTTGGATAGACTGGGTTGAAAAAGAAAGATCAAAGACAAGTCATAAGACAATTGCATGGTCAACATGTGAGGTGAAGAGAGGCTAAATTGGAACAAGAAACAGAGTAACAGCAGTAAAGGAAGTAATATGCTGGAAAAACTCACAGTCTTGTTAACTGATTGGCTCTGCAATGAAGGGAGGTGGTCAGATCACTATGGATAACCATAAAATGAACTCAGAATAAAAGTCACTGGCATGCTTACTAGATACGGGAGCAAGAGACAGGAGTGAGAGAAGATGACATATTTATTTTATACCTTTTCATATTGGATTAAAAAGTGGGGGGAGGGGTTTCTGTGGAGCATGTGGATGAGGCATTTGAAGACATGGGATTGGAAGTGCATTTAGATGTCTGAGCTTCAGACAGACTTTGGTATTTATTCCTCTGAAGATAGATGTTCAAGGAGGTGAGAGTGTCACACGGGGTCTCTGCCTTTCAGGCACAAACTCCATAATATAACATAACAGGAATTAAGGGATAAGCTTTATTGGAGAAAGGGGCAACCTGAGAGTCAAGGAGAGGAAGAGCATCAGCTCCCAGCCCCGTCCCCCACTTGTCCTCCCACCATCCTACAGAGAGGTGCGTGGGGCCCACAGGGTGGGTCTATGTGCTCTAGTGGAGGAGACCCCCCCACACACACACACACACACACAAACCATAGTTCTTCCTTCTTACCTACAAACTTCTTGGCACAAGATACATGTGGGCTGCCATTTGCTCACAGAAGTTAGAAAACACCTGCTGCCTCCCCCTGGAGACCTTGAGGCCTGTGGGACATTGACTCCTGCTTGAAGGGTTGAAGCTCCCACCGCCCTGGAGGGTGAGCCTGGATGCAGCCCCTCCCTTTAGGAAAAAAGGGAGCTCTAACTCGAAACTAATTCGATGTCTCATCAACGTTGAGTGACTTCCCAGGATCATTTTGGGACAATTCTGCTCATGGCCGGGTGGAGTGGGTGAGTTCTCTAGCCAAAAGCTGTTTTTAAAGATGAATGGAAGCTTATGACAGAGGCTGGGAAAACCAGAGACTGTGCTAGTTGATCTGGCACCTTTCTGTGGACTAGAGAAAGGTGCCCCTCTGTGCCCACACAGCCATGGAGCACACGGTGGGGCGAGCAGGTAGAGACTTCGTGCAAAGAAAGTAAGGGCCTTTTCCTGTAGGTGTGTATAGCTCTCTGCCAGGGCACATGACAAAGCAGACAGACTGTATCTCAGGAGTCTCAGGCCCCCTAGGCTGGCCGCCATTCTGCAAAGACATAAGCTGGGCAACCCTGAAACTCTAGCCTGACTCAAGCCTTTATACAGGGGTGGAACCAGTGAATGAATCTGAGTTGAAGTGTTAGATCTGCAAGGAGACTGTAGAGAGTGACAACACACTGCTAAGAAAGGGAAGGGATTCCAAAGGAAAATCAATAAGACAAAATGCTCAAGGAGCCAGGGAGATGAAGGACTGAGAACTGGGTCTTCAGACTTGGTAACTAAGTGGTCACTGACAATATTATAGATTAAGGAGAGCAAAATCAATGGTTGGGCCATAGAATGATAGAGGAAAATGGTGCTAGATTTTTAAACCAGGAAATACAGTCCTATATTAACCCCTAAGCCTTTTCTCTTGTCCTCCGTACAGCCCTGAAGCCGGTGGATCTGCACGTCACATATCAGACAGGGCCCCTGATGGCCGTAGAGACCACTCGGAACATAGTGCTGCACTGGCGGGCCCACGGCTGGCCCCTGCGCTCCCTCCGCACACCAGTGGCCTCCCTGCACTCTGTGGTCCAGGAGCTGGGAGGCCTGGCTGGGGGCCCCCACACCGTGGTGGTGCTGGGGCTGGGCGCACACTTCACCACCTTCCCTCCATCCGTCTTTGTGCAGCGACTGGCAGGGATCCGGGCAGCTGTGGCTGCGCTGCTGGCCCGGGAGCCCCGCACTCTGGTGGTCATCAAACTGGCCAACACTGGCTACAAGTCCGTGTATGGCAGTGACTGGTTCACCCTCCAGGTGAACCGGCTCCTCCGAGCTGCCTTTGCTGACCTCCGTGTGGCCTTTGTGGATGCCTGGGAAATGACCTCCAGCCTGGCCCTGCCTGACAGCATCCACCCAGTGCGGCTCATTGTCCAAAACGAGGTGGACTCCCTCCTCTCCTTCATCTGCCCCACCTGAATGCTTCTGCCTTGGGCTGTGTGGACAGAGAAGCTAGTGTGATGATTAAGCCTGCAAGCTCTGCCTCTCAGCCCGTTATTCCCCTTGTCTGACCTTTCTAATGCACTGAATCCATGTCATAATTCACACAATTGTGGATTTTTCAACTTGTTATTTAGACCATTTCTTTTACATGTTTGAAGTCCATGTTATTATGCATTACCAGGAAATCTGAGACAAAACAGCCAGCATCAAGGCATCACTTGTAAAATCACTGGTTTTTTAAAGATAAAGAAATAATCCTTTAAGCATTTAAGCAAAAAAGGCTTAAGTCACTTACAAGAGGAAAACTTAGATTGACTTAAATCAGTGGTTCTCAACCTTGGCTGCACATTAGAATCACCTGGGAATCTTTTTTTAAAATCCTGATTTCTGGGCCTCATCCTCCAGAAATTCTGTTTCTTTGTTATGGTGTGGGGCCACAACATGAGTAACAAAGAAACAGAATTTCCGGTTGATGAGGCCCAGAAATCAGGATTTTAAAAAGATTCCCAGGTGATTCCAATGTGCAGCCAAGGTTCAAAACCACTGACTCAAATTAATCAAAAACAACATTAAGCCCTAACTGGTGTGGCTCAGTGGATAGAGCATTGGCCCAAGAAGTGAAGGGTCCCGGGTTTGATTCCGGTCAAGAACATATGCCTGGGTTGGTGGGCTCAATCCTCAGTAGAGGGCATGCAGGAGGCAGCTAACCAATGATTCTCTCTCATCATTGATGTTTCTCTCTCTCTCTCCCTCTCCCTTCTTCTCTGAAATCATTAAAAAAATATTTACAAAAACAAAACACACCAAAAAACAAACAACAACAAAAACATTCAACACTAGAAGCCAGTGGAACAATGCTTGCAAAGCTGACAAACTAAAAAACTTAAGAATTTTGCACTTAGCTAAAGTATTATTCAGCTACAAAGGCAACAGACAAACATTTCAAATATGTAATAACTCAGGAAATATAGTTGATGTCCTAAAAGAATAACAAAAGTCAAACTTCAGTCAAACAAAATATTACTGATATGGCCTAGCAATTTCACTTCTGGGTATTTATCCAAAGGAAAGGAAAACACTAAGTTAAAAAGATATCTGGGCCCACAATGTTCATTGCAGCATTATTTACAATAGCCAAGACATAGAAACAAGCTAAGTGTCCATCAATGGGTTAATAGATAAAGAAAATATGGCATGTATAGGCAATAGAATAGTATTCAGCCATAGAAAAAGAGAAATATTGCCATTTGCGACAACCTAGATGGACTTTGAAGATGTTATGCAGGTGAAGTAAGTTAGACAGAGGAAGGCAATTACCATATGATCTCACCTATACCTTAAATCTGAAAAAAACAAGACAAAAATTAGATCACTGATACAGGTTATCAGAGGTGAGGGAGGGGCATGAGTAACATAAATAAAGGGGGTCAAAAGGTACAAACTTCCAGTTATAAAATAAATAAGTCCTGGGATGTAATGACTGCATGGTGACTATCTATACTAATAAAAACATAATATGCTAATTAGACCGGGAGACCTTCTGGACGTCCTTTCAGACAAAGCCATGGTGATGGGGCTGAGGCGGAGGCGGTTAGGGGCGATCAGGTCAGGAGGGGGCGATCAGGCCAGCAGAGAAAGGCAGTTGGGGGCAATCAGGCAGGCAGGCAGGGATCGGGCCTAAACTGGCAGTTGGGCATCCCCCGAGGGGTCCCAGATTGGAGAGGGTGCAGGCTGGGCTGAGGGACAACCCCCCTCCCCCCATGCACAAATTTCATGTACCAGGCCACTAGTCTACTATAATAAAAATGTAATATGCTAGTTAGACCAGACGTCTTTCCAGACATCCTTCTGGATGAAGCTGGGGCTGCGAGGGAAGCCCGGGTCCTAAGTGCTGGAGGGAAGCCAGTGCCAGCAGCCAGGGGAAGGAAGGCCTACTCTTGCACAAATTTTGTGCATTGAGCCTCTAGTAGTAAAGAATACAGTATTGCATGAGAACTTTACCAGCACCTCGTTTCTGGAGGAGTCAGATGAAGGCAACTGAATGGGGTCCACTGGAGAATCTTGGGACTCAGGAGGATTGCTCTATTCAGAGCTAGTTGGTCAACCTTCAACTTTTACCACATTCAAATCAATGAACTAACTGAAAAACTGTGATTAATAATTCATCATTGTCTTGTACTACGCCACTTGCTGGAGTGTGGTTTGAACATCTAGAAGTAGAATTTTAATAATCATTTTAGTCATACTGATTTTCCCACCTATAGAATTTAGTACCTACAAATAGTTCTCCTATGTTGAGTAACAGAAATGTTTAGAGAGTGAGGTGTCATCATTACAAGTATATTGTAATTAAATATGAGTTAAAAATCCTTAAAAATGTTGTATTGTATATTTTAAAGTTGCTAAGAAAGTAAATCTTAAAAGTTCTCATCACAAGAAAAAAATTTGTAACTATGTGTGATGATGGATGTTAGCTAGTTATTGTAGTCATCATTTCGCAATATTTGTATACACTGGGTCATTGTGCGGTGGACCTGGAACTAACAATGTTATTTGATAATTGTTAATTCAATTTAAAAAATAAAAGAGGGTCTTTCTTGGGTTAGTCATTTGATACACTTTCCCAATGATATATTTCTGTTTTTGCTTAAAAAATAAATAAATAAATAAATTCAAATGTAAAAGGAAAAAAAACCAAAACACTGCGTTATAGCGATTTGTAAAGTTTTAGCCTCGCTGGTGAAATAATGCTAAAGAATAAAGGTGAGATACAGACGTACCAGCTTACCTTCCCACTCTCCCTGCCCTCCTTATGGGAGTTATTTTACCTTAATATGGCACAATGTGTCTCAGTCACATCCACATCTTCACAGCTTGGGTCTTAAGAACTTGAACCTGCGTCAGCTTCCAGTTTTTACAGAGTTCTTTCATAAGAACAAAAGAAACCTTTTTGCTATTTATTCACAGTTTTTACCTTTCCATTTAAAAGGCAAAATGGGTCCTCTCTCTCTCTCTTTTTCTCTCCCTCTCCAGGGAGCACTCCAGTGCCATTCCCTTCCCTCTCTCCTTCTCCCACAGGCATGCATCCCCTAACCTCTAAGGGACTCTATGAGACTTGCAACCAAGGGAGCAATGGGCAGCAGCATCTTGTCCAGGGCTAACCCCTTGGACCTGTCTCCAAGGCCCCCATTCTCTACTTCCCAGTGAGCTAAGGCTGTCCAGCCTAGGCTCTCCTATTGCTTCTTCCATGCCCTTCCTTGTCTTGCTGTCCTAAATATACTTTTGCTGTGGTCAATAAATTCTTGGTTGCTTTTCAACACTTTGTCTCTTGATTGAAATCTTTCCCTCAAGAAGACAAGAGCCAAGGGCTCCTTGCCTCGCCGCTCCCCTGCCTGCTGCAGGACTTCAGTCCTTACCCGGCACAAGGACGCCAGACCAAAGCCACTTCAGACGTTCACAGCTTCCTGGTCAGAGTGAGCCATGACGAGGACTTCTACATGTGCATACCACTTCCTTGTCTTGATCTGGTATATTTTCCTCAATTATCACATCTCACAAAAAGAAAGGAATAAGCAGATGTCCAAAATCTTTCTAAATGGTGGACAGTAGAAGTACTTGACATTCCTTAATCTGTTTTTGCAGGCCATTTTCTATGGAGTCGCCTGCCTGGAAGATGTGCTGAAGAGAATTAAAGGGAAAAAAGACATTAAGTTAATAACTGCCTTCAGAGACCTGCTTTTCACCGCACTGGCTTTTCCTGTATCCACATTTGTATTTTTGTCCTTCTGGATCCTCTTTCTCTACGATGGAGAACTCATTTACCCTACGGCCCTAGATGATATCTTTCCAGTGTGGCTCAATCATGCCATGCACACGTTCACACTCCCCTTCTCCCTGGTTGAAGTCATCTTCAGGCCACACTGCTATCCATTGAAGAAGAAAGGCCTCACCTTCTTGGCTGTTGCTAGTTTTCCTTACATTAGCAGGGTCCTATGGATCTACTCTGAGACTGGTACATAGGTGTATCCTGTGTTTGCCAAACTCAGCCCAGTGGGTCTAGCAGCCTTCTCTCTCAACTATATCTTTACTGCCTGCATCTACCTACTTGGAGAAAAGCTCAAACAGTGGAAATGGGGTGACAAGAGGCAGCCAAAGAAAAACATGTGATTATATGCTGTCTTTTAAGAATTCAAAAGGAAGAAAACACAAGAGGGTGGGGGTTTTTTCTGGGGTTTTTTGTTTGTTTGGGGGTTTGGGTGTGTGTGTGTGTGTGTGTGTGTGTGTGTGTGTGTGTGTGTGTGTAGGGAGGTGGTGGAGACACATAAGAAAGTAGAAAGGACAGGAAACAATATTTAAATTTAAGAAGAGGGTTATGAAGGTAGCTCAATTTGAAGACTCGGGTTTTAAAAGGCTTACTGGCCATGCAAAAATAACTCCTGCTATCTTAAAATTTGTTACCTTAGTCTGAACTCTGTAGAGTTCTGACCATAATCCAAAGAAACTCATAAACTCAGTGTTAGAGAATGTTTAGACAGAGAAAGGAATGTAAGATCATTCAAATTCTTCACTTTACAGAGGAGGTTGCTGAAGACCTAGATGAGAAGTTACCTGCATGAGGCCAAAGAGTTAGTGTCAAAACTGAGCCAAGAGCTTTTGTCTCCCAGATATTTTAACTCCCAATCCTGTGCCATTTTTTAATAATCCCAACTTTCCTAAAAACAAGCATTTTCATAAGCTAGTTATTTTCACGAATTTCTTATGTATTTTTCTCCCCTCAATTGAGATAGGAGTGTAGGGAGATTCTACCTCATATGGTATAATAGCAAATTATTTGGGATAATGAGAAGATAAGTTATAAAAATATTAGGAACTCTTTCCCCCTTGTGAACAAGCACTCAAGGCAGGTATAAACACTGAACATAATGACATTGTCAAAATGTCTTCCGTTCAAGTATTGATTAACTTGTTAAATAAATGTACATTTTACTTGGGGAACAGTTTAAGTGGGAAGTGATATAATTATGAGGACTGCTGAGATTGCTTTGGTACAAAATACTTTGCTGAGCTAGTTTATGATTTAACAAAACTGATTGTCAGCAAGCACATTCATGAACCCTGCTTCGATTTTCCTAATGGAATTTTCCAGGTCTGTTTTTGTAAAGAAATATGTGGTGGGTAAAAATATCAAATCTGCCCTGACCGGTTTGGCTCAGTGGATAGAGCGCTGGCCTATGGACTGAAGGGTCCCAAGTTCCATTCCGGTCAAGGGCATGTACCTTGGTTGTGGGCACATCCCCATTAGGGGGTGTGTAGGAGGCAGCTGATTGATGTTTCTCTCTCATCGATGTTTCCAACTCTCTATCTATCCCTCTCCCTTCCTCTCTGTAAAAAAATCAATAACATATATTTTACAAAATAAATAAATAAAAAGAGTCACATGAGAAAAAAAGGGTTTAAAAAAAATAGTCAAATCTATTGGTGTGTCATAAAGCCCAGGGGAGTTGGGCACCAAAATAAATTGTACTTGGGCTTCCCAACCAAACATGATACAAGAGAAATTTGGTGAAAATGAGTAAAACCTGATAACACTGTGTCTGGAACTAAATTAAATCTTGATTGCTACATTAAAAAATTAATTAAAATAAAAACAAATAAAAGGCAAAAATGCACTTTTTAAAAAATCCTCACCCAAGGATATTTTCCCATTGATTTTTAGAGAAAGGGAAAGATAGAGAGAAATATTGATGTGAGAGAAACACATCAATTGATTGCCTCCTGCACAAGCAGGGCCCAGGCTAAGGAGGAGCCTGCAACCGAGGTACCTGCCATTGACCAGAATTGAACCTGGGACCCTTCGGTCTGCAGGCTGACACTAGCCACTGAGCCAAACCGGCTAGGGTGATTTTTTTTAAAACTTGTAAAGCAAAGCTCCCAATTCTCAGGACATAGAGAGTCTCATAGGTTTCCATTCTTCTGGCTATCTCTCTGGCTTATATTCATTTATTAAAAAAATATTTACTGCCGAAACCGGTTTGGCTCAGTGGGTAGAGCGTCGGCCTGCGGACTGAAAGGTCCCAGGTTCGATTCCGGTCAAGGGCATGTACCTTGGTTGCGGGCATATCCCCAGTAGGAGATGTGCAGGAGGCAGCTGATCGATGTTTCTCTCTCGTCGATGTTTCTAACTATCTCTCTCCCTTCCTCTCTGTAAAAAATCAATAAAATATATTTAAAAATAAAAATAAAAAAATATTTACTGACCTTTCCCCAAAATAATTATTTACTGAGAACCTGTTACGTGCCAGGCTCTGTGCAATGTACAGGGGATGGCACAGGAAGCAAAAGCAAGCACAGTCTGCTCTCGTGGAGCTTCTGCAGGGAGAGAGCATTCAATGAAATAAACATGAAGGGTAACTTGTGATTAACGTTAGGAAGAAACAGCACCAGGTACCCCAAAGCTGCATCACAAGTTACATTGATCTGGTTTGCGGGTCAGGAAAACTTCCCTGAGGAAGCAATGTTTGTACTGAGGTCTAACAAAGTCATATAAGTTAATTGAAGGGTGGAAGTAGAATTGGGGAGCAGAAGCATTTCAGGTAATACAAACATCAGACTAGTGCAGGGGTGGGCAACCTTTTTGTGAGTGCGTGTCAAAACCAGCAAAATCTCTGATTCAGAATTCTTCCGTGTGCCAACCCTAATTTTTTGAGAACATGTTACACCTACTTGATATCTCTTAAGGTATACATATGTGAAGAACCTTGAAGAAATAATAAAATTCATTCGAGCGACAAAAACACAGGATATGATGATGAAAAATACATTTATTTTTTAATGTATACATGTACACTGATAGTCCGACAGAAAACTTTTTGACTCCGCTTGATACTATCAGTGGGGCTTTTGCTGCTGCATCACTGATGACAGAGATTTTACATCAGGTTTATATTTCGTGACCTTCAGAGATATGCACGAGCTACTACTTTCATCCGTCAGGCTACTCCTATTATGAGACTTAACAAAATTCATCACTGAGAACAAAGATTCACAATTGTAAATGGAAGATTATAAGAGAGGGTTTCACGTGCCAGCAAAAGTTACTGGTGTGCCATGTTTGGCACGCGTGCCAGGGGTTGCCCACCCCTGGACTAGTGTCTGGTAGTGGAAAGCTGTGTGAGGAGTGTGAGGAAATGGAAGAAGAGCAGGATGGTTGCACCTAGAGAGCAAGGGGAAGGGTGGAGAGAGAGGTCAGGGAAAGTGGAACAAGCATGACATTGAAGGCCATGGCTTCAAAAGTGTTACATAATAGGACACCATGAAAGAGCTTTTATCAGGGCAAGTTAATTCTCCTACTCAAAGCTTACTATACTTTCAGTTCAACCTAAAACTTGTCATTAAAAGTTTATTAATTTTTTTAATGACGGAGAATGCAACGAATGGGATGTTAGATTATCCACTTGTTCCTCGTCCCCCTAAATCCACTCTTCCACCTTCTCCACCCTGCATGACAGCTGATTCCTATTGACCACATAACCCAGGGCCTTCGCCCTCTGGTTGCCCACTGGGACCTGCCCATGGGAGACATCTGCTGACCAAGGGGAGGAGATCCTCTCCCTATTGAATTACCCTGAGTTGCTATTTGCCTCCACCAGAGGCCCTCTTCCTGCACCTAGGGGCATTTATTCTAGGTCCTGATAACTGTTCCCTCTCTTTGCCCCTTCAGGCATATGGGTGACAAGAGAAAAGTTTCGAGATGGACTAAATTAAATTACAGCAGGTAGAAGGAACAAGGAAGAAGAGACAAGGAGTTCGTCAACAGAGTGAAGATGCTTCAACATCCCTGTGGGTAAAGTGAAGATAGCAGTACACCCACCACAGAATGCTGCAAAGCTGAAATGAGGCAATGAATGTTTACTGCCTGACTCAGATAAGAGGATGTTTAGTGCCTGACTCAAAAACCAGAAACATTTCTTCTCAGGCCTTGGGGAGGGGGTAAAGGAAAGCAGATACAGAGATAGGCGGGGACTGCCTTGCTGACTGTGGAGAAATGTAGAAGAAACCAGTTAGGATTGGGGAAGAAACTGATTAAAAAGGAAGTCAGGCCTGGCCCCCGTGGCTCAGTGGTTGAGCATCGACCTACGAACCAGGAGGTCATGGTTCATTTCCCAGTCAGGGCACATGCCCGGGTTGCAGGCTCTATCTCCAGTGTGGGGCATGCAGGAGGCAGCCAATCAATGATTCTCTCTCATCATTGATGTATCTCTCTCTCTCTCCCTCTCCCTTCCCCTCTGCAATCAATAAAAACATTTAAAATAAATAAATAAATAAATAAATAAATAAATAAATAAATAAATGCAGGCAGGAAGGAAGTCTGTCTGCTGCTTCCATCTCCAGAAGACCAAGGCCACTTCCTCTGATAAAATCATGTCCACCCACTCCCACAGTCTACTCAGTAAGTTGATGGCAACCTCATTCTGGGGAGGCAATGGGCAGAGCCTCCTGTGAGTCACCAAAGGTCCCAGTTCCCAACCTCTCACCCCGTTCACCACGTCACAGGCTGGCAGTGCCCTCCATTAGGGATGGTCCCAGGACTGTCACTGGGGTGACCCATTACTGCTCTGAGCCTTAAGCCCCTCTGTCCAGGGAAGACTCTGGATTAGCCAGGGCTCCCACCGCGGTGGATGGGACCATCTAAGGAGCATTATAAAAATACAGCCTCCTGCGGCTCACCCCAGAGCTCTGCACTCTGGTGCTGAGGCCTGGAGACTCTGTGGTGCAGCCAGGTGGAAGCATCCAGAAGGCTCTGTGGATTCAGCAAGAGTGGAGTTCCAGTCCTGGACCCATCACTTGAGAGTCACGGACTTGGGCACACCCTCTCCGAGCCTTGGTTGTCTCATAAGTGAAGGGGTGAGAACAGAGGGCCCTGCAGATCCACACTTGAATTCTGTGGGTAAAGGCATGGCCTCCAGAAAGCCACTCTCTGGGGAGATGGAAGGGTCAGACCACACTCACCTCTTAATCCCAGCGCGGGTGTGAGATGCAGAGGGAACAGAATGGGGCCTGTGGGTCTTGTTTCTGTCTGTGAACTACAGGAGAGGGCGGGGGGCCAAGAGCCAGCTGGATGCACCTGGGCTGGGGCTGGGGCTGGGGCTGGGGCTGGGGCTGGGGACATCTCCACCAGCACCTCCTGCCTCCTTTTCCAGGGGCTGTAGCTGGACAGACTCCTGGCTGCCTTTCCTCTCTTGAAAGAGCCTGAGCTGGTCCTGCTGCTGCCCCTTCCCCTGCAATGAGAGAAACAGAGGCTGAGAGGCACTCAGAGAAGCAGAGAAAAGGAGAGCGAGTGAGAGACAGAGACGGGACTGACTCCTAAGGAGATGGGAAAGCCCCTGGCAGAGACAGGGCGTTGAGGTGGGAGGGGAGAGGCCCCAGGCAGCCCAGGTCAGGACCACACCCATCAGCATGAAGGTGGGGACTGGGGGGCCGATATCATGGCTCTTGGTCACTGACCACAGGGGAAGCTCTTTGGCAATATCAGAAAAGAAGAAGCCAGATTGTAAACGGAAGTGCTGCCCATCCTGGGCAGGCATGTTTGGGGAGGGCTCCCACCTCCCAAGTCCTCGGAAGGAGCCTGGTCCTGCCTCTCCGGGTGGTCAGATTAGCCTGAGGCAGCCCCTCCACAGAGCCTCCCCTCTGGCCTAGAGGCTCTGCTTGTTTTCTCATCCTCCAAGGAGAGCGAGGCGATGGGTCTGCCCCTGCTGCTGCTCCTGCTGCTGCCCCTGCTGCCGCCAGCAGCTCTGCAGGCTGGTGAGTGGCCAGGACACCCTGGCTCTGACCAGGGCCCCAGGGGAGGGGCTGTGGCCAGCCAGGCTTCCCACCTGCCACAGCAGCGGGCTGGGCTGGTCCCACAGTGCTGGGTCCCCCACATCCCTCACCCTCCTTTCTACCCGCCCTGGAGAGGGGACGCCCAGCCAGAGGGCCAGTCCTATTCTCTGCCACACTTCCGCCCGTAGGTGAGGGTGCCAGATGGTCCGGGGTTATCTTCTCGGTCCGTCCAAGTGGCTTCAAAGTCCCTCCCTCTCCCCCCCTCCAGGTGGCTCAGCAGAATGCACTTCAAACCTTAATTATGAAGTCCACCAACCAGAGCACCTCTCAGCCCCTGAGGGTGGCTCCATCGACATCCCCTTCTCCTTCTGTTACCCCTGGGAGTTAGCCCGTCATCCCAACGTGCGTATATCCTGGAGATGGAAACAGTACCATGGAGAGTTCATCTACAGCACAACCCCGCCGTTCACCACAACCTCACCGTTCATCCATAAGGATTTTAAAAACCGCCTCTCCCTGAACTGGACAAAGGGCCAGAGGAACGGCTCCCTCCGGATCTCCAACCTGCGGAGAGAGGATGGACGTAGCTACTTCTGCCGAGTCCAGTTGACCACACGGAACGAAGGCGAGAAGGTGTGGCAGTCCATCACAGGGACCAAACTCATCATCACCAGAGGTGAGTCCCACTGCCCCGGCCACTGGTGCCCTCGTCCCCCAGGACCGGTCCAGGCGCCTCTCTTCCTGACCTTTCTCTCAAACACCTCTCCCTGCCCCTGGCTGCTTCCCAGCCTCTGCCAGCTTTACCTTTTTCACCGTGATCTCCCCAAACGTGGGCTGCCTTCCTTGCCCCTCCCTCACTGCCCCATAGATCCAGCCCACCCCATCCCCAGGCTTCAGACCTTCCAGGCTCCCCGGTTATCCTCCTTCTTGCTCCAAGTTGGGGCTCCAGCCCTGCCTCCTGCCTTCACCCCATGTCCTCCAGGCGGACTTGACTTTTACAGGATGTGGCCTGGCTTTCCTTTGTCCTGTGTCTGCAGGGGAGCCCCAGCTAATCCCATGTCTGTGTCCCCCCACAGCCATGAGCTCAGCCTGGCACACACAGGAGGGACCCCATAGCGGCCCAAGGAATTCCCTCCCTCCCTCCACCCCTGGTAACACCCTCCCTCCCTCCACCCCTGGTAACACCCCAGCACCTGTTGTCCCAATCTCCCTGCTTTCTTTTCTCACTCTGCTCCCCAGAACGTGGCCCTCAATGCTCCCTCCCCAGTTTCATCTCTTTATTCTCCTCCATCTCCCTCTTTCTGTCTTAATCCTCTTTACCTTCCTTGCCTCTCTCAGGGCTCCACCCACCCCCCGCCCCCCAACATGGGAGCCTCTATGTTATCCCCTTCTCCATCCTGCTCCTGCTCTTCTGTCCTGGTTGTTAGAGGCCCCTCTGCAACAGCAATGAGGGCAGTTCCTGCTTACTGTGCACTGTGGCTGAATCCTTGGTATGCATTGCCCTAGTGAGTCTGCACCACGACCCCACAATAACAGTAGGTACTGCTGTCATCTTTATGTTACAGATGAGGAAACTGAGGCTTGCAGAGCCTAAACACTGGCCCAAATTCCCACTAGTGCCGATGGGATTTGAACCCAATGTAACCTCAGAGCCTACTCTCTGAGCCACTAGCCTCTCACCTCACCTATTGACTGAATCATCTTGTTATCCTGACCTATTTTTAACCCAATATGGGGTGTGTTGCATTAATAGTTCTTCCTATATTACTTAGTGGGGCATGGAATGTTAAACATGGGTTTTCCTGTCTCCAGGGCAAATACTGGGAAATTCCACTTATATGAGGTGTCTAGAATAGTCAAATTCATAAAAACAGGAAGTGGAATAGTGGTTGTCAGAGGTTGAGGAAGGAGAGAATGGGGATTGTTCAAATGGGATGAGTTTTTTTTTTTTTATGTTTTATTGATTTTTTACAGAGAGGAAGGGAGAGAGATAGAGAGTTAGAAACATCAATGAGAGAGAAACATCGATCAGCTGCCTCCTGCACATCTCCCACTGGGGATGTGCCCGCAACCCAGGTACATGCCCTTGACCGGAATCGAACCCGGGACCCTTGAGTCCACAGGCCGACGCTCTATCCACTGAGCCAAACCGGTTTCGGCGGGATGAGTTTTATTTTGGAAAGAAGTGTATGGTGGTGAGAGTTACACAACAATGTAAATGTACTTACTGCCACTACATTGACTTAAATATGGTTAAAATGGTAAATGTTATGTTATGTGTCTTTGGCCACAATAAATGGGTTTTTTTAAGTCCTGTGATCTAGTTATTCCTATTTGTAGGTAATGAAATACACCACGGATCGGTGGTAGATTCAGGATTTGAACCGAATGATGTATGTGATAAGCCTTCAGCATTTCACCTGTTACTCCCCTACTGGTGTGAGAGCTTCAGAGGGTTGCTCCCCACCCCCAGTGTTCCCCAAACTAGGGAACAGGATGTGACAGTTTCACTCAGATATTTCCAGTCCCCTAAGGAAGAATTTACTTATTTCTCATGTCTTCTCAGCCACCAAACCCACCAACACCACCACCACAGATGGCCTCAGTATCTCGGGGAACAAAGGGAGATCAGGGTTTTGGCCCTTGAGTAAGGAAGTTGTGGTAAGCATGGCAGTGGCCAGCACTGTGCTCAAAATTGCAATTTTGGGACTGATGGTCTACCTCAGGTGGAAGAGAAGCAAAGGTGAGTGGTCCAGCACCCTGCCCTCTCCCCAGGCTTCCCAACTGGGTGTTTCTCCTAATCACCTGCACCAGGATGATTGCAGATCCCTGCTGGGATGAGGTCTAGTCTTGGGAACCGTCATTGTTAATGATCTCCTCAAGTGCTGTCTGGGAGTGATCAAGTTTGAAAATCATGGCTCTAAACCAGCCCCTCTCCACAACTTTTCTTGACTTAATCATTTCTCATCAGTCCTCACCTTTTTGTTCATGGAGAGGGGAGGGTCTGCCATGAAAAATTAAGAAGAAGAAACAGGAAGTTGACTGAGCTCAGCAAGCATTGGTGGGGTACCTGTTTTCTAGGGCCTGACTTGTAATTAGAGATAAAAAGTAAACAAAGCAGAGACCCTTTCATGGAACTAATTGGGGAGGGGAAGGGTGGGGCCAGTTGCCTGAAGGGCTTATTGCTTCATTTGGAAAGAGCTAAAGTAGTTGCGATAAAGGAGGGGGTAACCAAGGAGGACTTCTCAGAGGAAGTGACACCTGCAAAAAAATCTCAAAGAATAAAAAAGAATTAGCCAGGCAAGTGGCAAGGATGGTGTAGAGGTCACTGTTCTTTCAGGAGAAGGAAACCATTTGTGGAACTGTAAGTAGCTCAGTGCTATGGAGGAGGCAGGAGATGGGGAAAGAGGACCTTGTAAATCACATCCAAGAGCCTTAGATCCCAAAGGAAATGTGAAGCAGCCAGATGGCAACCTCACTTGGTATTGCAGATACATCCAGCCTGCAGTGGAGGGACCAGGACATTAGACTTACCCATCCAGTCCAATGCAGTGCCAGCTTGAGTGGAAAGAGAGCGACAGGTCTTGGAAAAGGTTAAGAAGGAACAAGTAAGATATGGGGGTTGGATTGATGTAGGTGTGAGGGAGCCAGAAGTCCCATGTTTACAACTTGGGTGAACAGGCTGTGATGAAACTACCAAGTGAATTAGGGAACATAAACGGTCAAAGACCATGGTTCAGGGAGAAAAATGATTCTTCAACTAGATGAGCATCAGCACTTATAATTATTAAGCTACAATAATTAAAGTGATGCAATGCTAGCATATAAAAGATAAAGTAATGGAAGAAAAGAAAAAATTCAAATATAAGCAGGATAAAAATACTAGTAGACCCAAATATATGCAGAAATTTAGTAGGTTAAAAGGTAACATGTATAATCAATACATATTATTAGAACAATTGCATAGCCATTTGAGAAAAATAACATTATCTCCTTACCTTATCATTTGCACCAAAATAATACTAGCATTTAATATTTCAGAGTTTTCATTCCCAGTGATTAAAAAATATAATGTCCAGAGTGGAGTGGAGGTCACTGGAGTTGGGGGATGGGTGAGTCCAGTGCCTGAGAGGATTGTCCCTGTGGATGATGAGACCTCACAGGAAGGTGGGCAGTGGTGGAGAGGATGTATGAGAACCGGGGCCAAATGCTTGGGAATTGCTGTGGAGAGACTTGAGAAGGAGGTGGAGGGGGAGAGTGCAGGGAGGTGGGGAGGAACAACAGAGTCCTCGGTGGAAGAGAGGAACAGGCTGCAGTGTAAACACTGATCCCAGCCCTGAGGTTCAGAGGTAGGAGAGAGCAACAGCCACCACTCAAAGGAAAGCAGAAGAAGCTGGTTTGTCACAGCAGGAGGAGCGATGGTGCCTGAGGCGGGGAAGGGGAGGGGAGGGAAGGTGGGCCAGGCTCAGCAGTGGAAGGAGAAGGTTGAGGGATTGCAAGGAGTTGAAGGAAAGAGGAAGGAAGCAGAGGGAAAGTTAGGGAGCGAGGGCAGGGTGAAGGGGGCACAGGGTGCAGAGAAGAGCTGCTCTCCTGACTTGGTGTTGAGGACAAAAGCAGGAGAGGTGTGGGCAGCCTCAGGATGCCAGCTGGTGCCACTCTGAGTCCTAGGCCCTTCCAACAGGAGTTTCAGCAGAGCTGCTTTGCTGCCCTGGTTTATCCAAGGATGGTCTCAGAGTAGGATGAAGCAGAAAAGCAGGAGGAGATGCTGTTCATGGAAGGCACACTGACATGCTGTTGGTTCCTCTACAGGTCTATGAACTAAACCAGAGCCCCCGCTAGGTGAGTGTTTGTCTTCAAAGTGAGACATAGGGGTTTCGGGGGGCGGGGGGTGACTTAGGAAACAGGAAGCTCCTTAAGAGAACAGCACTAGGATGCCTTTCACAGCTGCTCTCATCCTCGACTTTCCCATCCACGTTTTCTTATGTTCCATAACAGGTCAGCACTTCTCTTACTAAGAACAGAGGATCTAATTACTTTCTCTGATTCTTTCCCAGAATGTCTCCCTTTTCTCTTTCCCTGGTATCCTCTTTTCACCTTCTTTGTCCCTCTTCCTAAGTTTTTCCTTCTGTTCATCCTATTTTCTTTCCATCTTGGACATCATCCTTCTGGAACACATCTACCTTTCCCACATTTTTCCTCTTTCTTGCTCATTGTCCAATCTACCTTTCCCCTGGTGATGCACCCATAGTGGCCACAGAATCATCTGCCTCCATCACCTCTGCCGTCTGCCTTTTCTCAGAGCACCTTTCCCCCTCAGCTCCCAGCCTGGCCTCCTCTCCTCTGTGCTGGGATCTCCTTCCTGCCCTGAGCCCTGGTCCTCCTCACCCTCCCACCAGTTTCCTTTTCTCCATCCTTCTTCCCATTTCTACACTTTCCCTTCCCTAAATCCCCTCCCACCCTCTCTCCCTCCCTGACTTTTGCCAGCTGCCTTACTCACCCATCCCAGGATGGCGTCTCCTCCTGGGGACCAAGGCCTGAGCACCCACCCAGAGGCTGTGAGATGAGCGTCGCTGGTTTTCCTTCTCGGTTTTAACCGAGGCAGTGAGGACAGAAATTCACCCCTCTGGTTTCTCCTCCTGTGCCCCTTCCTACAACAGCGGTTCCCTAGAACAGCCCTCCTTCAGGTGCACTCAGGGGCCTCTCCTGGGCTACACCACACACTGCCTCTCAAAGCTCTTCCAGGCAGCCTCCTTCTGAGAGCCTCAAACCATTCCCTACATCTTCTGAGTAGGTCCAAGCAGGTCGCAGAGCCCCGAAGAGAACCAGCCTGATGCAGGTTTTGACTCCTTTCTGCCCAGCCTCTGACACAATTCCCACTCTTTCCTTCCCACGCAGGGGATCCTTCCATAACACTGAGGAGAAGCACGAGAACATGGGGCATAAAGGTCAGTCCTACCACCATCACTTCCCACTCTCCACCTTGGCCCTTCCTTCTTCCTTACACACTCTCTCCCCACACATGTGCCCCTCAGCGTTTTCCTCTTTCCCATGCCTCACCCATCCCTCCCACATGACCCTAGTCCGGACCTAGCAGATGACCGCACTACTGAGCCCTCTGCCCGTTTCTCTACCTTGGCTGCCATGCCTCTGATCCTGGCACATTTTTATTTTTTTTCTGGGACTACATAGAGACTCCAAGCCGGACCCAAAAGTAAGTAGCTCAGACTAGAGCCTGAAAGAATTAGAGAAGCTTGGAGAAATAGGGGTGGAAAGAATAGAGGGACTGTGGTATCAGCAGGGCACTCAGGTATGAGATCACTGATGTAAGATGAGGTCAGCTCCCCCTCCACTTCTAACCCCCTTCTCTTTCTGTTCTCACACAGGTTGATGGCATCCTCTATGCCTCCCTTACCCTCTCCAACTCAACCTCACCCTCACCGACAGCACCTCCTAGCCACCTTCTCTACGAGAGCCCCCAGGAAGAGACCCTATACTCTATGTTACAGACCTAAGGAGTGTGACTGAGTGATGACCTCCTTAGAGTAAGCTGCACAGAAGGATCACTACTTCCCATAACAATCCCAGCCAGACACCGATGACTCAGAAGCCAGCAGGGGTCAAAGACCACCAAGGACCTAAGAAAAATAGCCATCTGCTCCAGTTCCCTCTTCGTCTCGTTCCCTTGCCCACAAAAATAAAAGTACCTGTAGGATTTGCCTGCATGCATCTAGGAAAAAAATTGATGTCACCTTCAACTTCTGTCCTTCTTGCCAAAAATAAACTACAATACATAGCTCATGCCCAAGACCCCTCCTCTAGTGCTTCTGCTCAATGACTGCAAGTCCCTGAACACTGTTAGGCAGCCTGTAACCCAAGGTCTGCCCTCCAGCCTAACCACTCTACTTCCCTTACAATTTAAGCCTTTACATGCATCACCTCACTTAAACATAAGCAACCTTATATGGCATAGGATGTACTCATTTGAGACATGAAATGAAGAACCAGAATGGTTTCAGTGCTTTTCTCAAGGCCACACAGCTAGCAAATGGCGAGCCAGGATTTGAACTTACTCCTTCTCTTCTCGATGTCCTTCACCCAGGACTAGGATGTCATTGCCTTCCCAGATTCCTATACTGTACAGGCCTCCCACAGAAACAATGATGTTAGTGACATGGAGGAGGAGGGAGAGAAGCCAAAAGGAAGCATCTACTTACGGATGACCAAACCAAGTAAACCAGTAACCGGTTTAGTTAACATATAAACTGGTTTAATTTAGTCAATTCACCTTGTAGCCAGTGACTAACCCCAACACTTCCCAGCTCTATGTACCTTCTGAGAGGCTCTCCTCCTGTTCCGGAGGAAGAGAGGAAGAGAGCAAAGGAGCACAAAAGGACTCCTCAAAGAAGCCATGTTGAACTCTGATCATGTCTATGCTGTGGCTTCACCCTCTGTTCCAACTCTTCCCCCAACATCTTCCATGAGTTGCTACAGGTTCAGTTCACTGGAGGTTTCATCGTCAGCGGGTACACTACCAGCCTCCTGAGGCAGTGGCTCCTGGGATCCAGGTCCTTCTGTCCCCACCAGGAGCTGGCCCTTTGGCACCATTCTAGCCTCTTTTTCCTCAGACTTTTTTTGCAAATGACATGATAGTCCACATAGAAAACTTGAAAGAATTAACACACATACAAAAAAAATACCCTTATGAACAACAACACACAAAAAGACCCTCATGGACCTATTCAATGACGATAGCAAAGTTTCAGGTTACAAGATTAATATATAAAAGTCAATTGATTTCTCACATACCAACAATGAACAAGTAGAACTTGAAATTTAAAGCATAATACCGTTGACATTAGCATCCTCCTCAAAAATGAAATACTTAGGTATAACGCTAACAAACTATATACAGATCTATATGAGAAAAATTATAAAACTCTGATGAACAAAATCAAGAACTAAATAAATCAAGTGATATTTCATATTTGTGGATAGTAAGACTTAATATTGTCATGATGTCAGTTTTTCCCTACTTTATCTATAGATTCAATGCAATTCTAATTAAAAATTTCAGCAAATTATTTTATGGACATTGACAAACTTATTTTAAAGTTTATATGAGTAGGCAAGATGCAGAGAAGCCAACACAATATTGAAGGAGAAAAACAAAGTTGGAGGACTGACCCCAGTCTACTTCAATGCTTACTATAAAGCTTCAGTATTTCAAAACAGTATTGTATTGGTGAAAGAACAGACAAATAAGTCAATGGAACAAAATGGAGAGCCCAGCCCTGGCTGGGTAGCTCAGTTGGTTAGAGCATCATCCCAATATGCCAAGATTCTGGGTTTGATCTCCAGTCAGGGCACATACAAAAATCAACCAATGAATGCATAAATGGGTAGAACAACAAATTGATGTTTCCTCTCTTTTTCTCTCTCTCCCCTCCCTTCCTCTAAATAAATAAATAAATAAATAAATAAATAAATAAATAAATAATTTTTAAATGGAGAACCCAGAAATGGATCCCCACAAATATAGTTAACTGAGCTTTGATGAAGGAGCAAAAGAATACTATGGAATAAAGATAATCTCTAACCCATGGACACAGACAGTAGGGGGTTGAGGGCATGTGTTGTGGGGTGGGAGCAGCCGGGGAGAGGTCAATGGGGGAAAAAGGAGACATATGTAATACTTGAAAACAATAAAGAAAAAAGAAAAAAGACAATCTTGCCCAACTGGTGTGGCTCAGTGGTTGAGCGCCGACCTATGAACCAGGAGATCAAGGTTGGATTCCTGGTAAGGGCACGTGCCCAGGTTGTGGGCTCAATATCCAGTATGGGGAGTACAGAAGGCAGCTGATAAATGAATCTCTCTCATCATTGATGTTTCTATCTCTCCCTCTCCCTTCCTCTCTGAAATAAATAAAAATATTTTTAATAGTCTCTTCAACCAACAATGGTGCTAGAACAATGGGGCAGTCATATGCAAAGAAGAATCATCTAGACACAGACCTTACACTCTTAAAAAAAATTAACTCAAAATGGATCATAGACCTAAATGTAAACCACAAAACTACAGATAGAAGATAACAGGAGAAAACCTCGGGTGTGGTGATGCCTTCCCCCATACACACACACTTTATTTTTATTGTTGACACTATTACAGATGTCCCCACTTCCCCACATACACACTTTGTCCGCTTCCACCCAGCCCCTGCCCCTCTTCCCCTCTGGCCCTCACCACACTGCAGTCTGTGTCTGTGGGTTATGCATATGTATTCTTTGGCTAATCCCTTCACTTTCTTTCATCTAGTTCCCCCCTTCTCCCTCCCCTCTGATAGCTGTCAGTCTGTTCCATGCATCTATGCCTCTGGACCTATTTTGTTTCTCAGTTTATTTTGTTTATTAGATTCCTCATGTGAAATCATATGGTATTTGTCTTTCTCTGACTGGCTTATTTCACTTAGCATAATACTCTCCAGGTCCGTCCATGCTGTTGCAAAAGGTAAGATTTCCTTCTTTGTATGGCTGCATAGTATTCCATTGTATAAATATACTACTGCCTTTTTAAAATATTTTTTTATTTTTGAAAATATATTTTTATTGATTTCAGAGAGGAAGGGAGATGGAGAGGGGGGGAGAGAAGGAGGAGAGAGAGAGAGAGAGAGAGAGAGAGAGAGAGAGAGAGAGAGAGAGAGAGATGATGATGATGATGAGAGAGAATCATTGATCAGCTGCCTTCTGCATGCCCTCTACTGGGGATCTTGTCCACAATCCTGGTTTGTGCCCTGATTGGGAATCAAATCCTGACCTCCTGGTTCATAGGTCGACACCCAACCACTGAACAACACTGGCTGGGCTATTCCATAGCTTTTTTATCCACTCATCTACTGATGGACACTTGACTGTTTCCAGATCTTGGCTATTGCAAATAATGCTGCTATGAACATAAGGATGCATATATCCTTTCTGATTGGTGTTTCAGGATTCTTAGGATATATTCCCAGAAGTGGGATCACTGGGTCAAAAGACAGGTTCATTTTTTTTAAATATATATTTTATTGATTTTTTACAGAGAGGAAAGGAGAGGGATAGAGAGTCAGAAACATCGATGAGAGAGAAACATCGATCAGCCACCTCCTGTACATCTCCTACTGGGGATGTGCCCGCAACCAAGGTACATGTCCTTGACCAGAATCGAACCTGGGACCTTTCAGTCCGCAGGCCGACGCTCTATCCACTGAGCCAAACTGGTTACGGCAGGTTCATTTTTAAAAATAAAAATGTACCATCCATGTTGTCACAAATGGAAGGATTTTCTTCTTTTTTTAAAGGTTGAGTAATATTCCTGTGTGTATTTATATGTATGTACACATACACATTCTTTAGCAATTTATCTGTCAATGGACACCTAGGTTGTTTCCATATCTTGGCTATTGTGAATAATGCTTCATTGAGCATCAGAGTGCAGATATCTCTTTGAGATACTTATTTCATTTCCTTTGAATAGATAACCAGAAGTGGGATTATTGGATCATATGGTAGTTCTATTTTATTTTTTGAGGAAGCTCCATACTGATTCCATAGTGGCTGCACCAATTTATTTTGCCACTAACAATGCACAAGGGTTCTCTTTTCTCCACACCCTTGCCAATACCTGCTATCTCTTGTCTTTTTTATAATAGCCATCCTAGCAGGTATGAAGTGATATCTCATTGTGGTTTTGATTTGTATTTTCCTGATTATTAGTGATGTTGAGCATCTTTTCATATATCTGTTAACCATTTGTATACCTTCTTTGGAAAAATGTCTATTCGCATTATTTGTCAATTTTTTAAAAATATATTCTTATTGATTTCAGAGGGTGAGAGGGAGAGACAGATAGAAACATCAATGATGAGAGAGAATCATCGATCAGCTGCCTCCTGCACGCCCCACACTGGGGATTGAGTCCACAACCCTGGCATGTGTCCTTGACTGAAATAGAACCCAGGACCATTCAGTCCGCAGGCTGACACTCTATATACTGAGCCAAACCAGCTAGGCCATTTGTCAATTTTTAAATCGGTTTTTTTTTTTTTGGGGGGGGGGTGTTTTTTGGCTATTGAATTGTATGAGTTCCTTATATATTTTGAATATTAAATGCTTATCAGATATATAGTTTGCAAGTACTTTCTGCCATTTCATGCATTATTTCTTCATTTTGATTGTTTCCTTTGCTGTGCAGAAACTTTTTGGCTTGATGTAGTCACACTTATTTATGTTTGCTTATATTGCATTTGCTTTTGGTATCATATCCAAAAAATCATGACCAAGATCAATGTCAAGGAGTTTTGTCTCTTTATTTTCTTCTAGGAGTTTTATGTTTTTTAAGTCTTTAATTCATTTTAAATTAATTTTTTATTGATTAAGTTATTACATATGTGTCCGTATCCCCACATTACCCCCCACCCCCCCACTCATGCCCTCACCCCCCTGTTGTCTGTGTCCATTGGTTAGGCCTATATGCTAGTATATAAGTCCTTTGGTTGATCTCTCCCCCTTACCCCCACCCTCCCCTACCTTCCCTCTGAGGTTTGACAGTCTGATTGATGCCTCTCTGTCTCTGGATCTGTTTTTGTTCATCAGTTTATGTTATTCATTATATTCCACAAATAAGTGAGATCATGTGATAGTTATCTTTCTCTGACTGGCTTATTTCACTTAACATAATGCTCTCCAGTTCCATCCATGCTGTTTCAAATGGTAAGAATTCCTTCTTTTTTTACCACAGCATAGTATTCCATTGTGTAGATGCA